ATATAATGGATTGGGGGTGAACGTAATGAGATACCCCTTCTGACCCTGTCACTGGATGCAGAAAAGGTCTTTGACAGGGTCGGATAGGGATATATGTTCGAGGTCTTGGAGACATTTGGTTTCTGTGGACAAATGTTGAATGCAATAAAATCAATATATAAATGTCCAACTGCTAGAGTAGTGGGAGTGGATCTATGTTCTGAATGGTCTGGTTTAAATAATGGTACCTGTTAAGGTTGTCCTTTATCACCAATTTTATATATTTATATATATTATCTATGGAACCATTCGCTACAAAAATAAGAACTAATTCACTTAAAAAAGGTGTGCCAACAAGCTCAGACGATCTAAAATTATGTTTGTACGCTGATGACTAGACGTGTGCAATTCGTTTAGTTCCGAATGGCAATTCGGACATTCGGATACATCAGTGGGTGGGGGCCGGGGGCCGGACAATCCCCTCCCCTTATTCTAACTTAGGGCCCCCACCCGCTGCTCAGGCGTGGGGGCCAGTGGGAGGACAATAGGTCCCCCCTATTCTAATTTAGGGTTTCCCACCCATCGCTCAGGGGTGAGGGCCAAGGGGAGGACAATAGGTCCCCCTTATTCTAACTTAGGGCCCCCACTATTGTCCTCCCCCCTTATTGATATTTAGGGCCCCCACCCGCTGCTCATGGGTGGGGGCCAGGAGGAGGACAATAGGTCCCCCCATTAGTTTACTTTAGGGCCCCCACCCACCGCTCAGAGGTGAGGGCCGGGGTGAATGTTTTTTTTAGTTTGTTTGTTTTTTCAACAGTGAGCAGCCACAGGCTTCTCACTGTTTAATAGACATGCCCCTACTCGCGGTATAGCGAGTAGGGGCAAAATTGACTAATACTAAGTAATTTTTACTTAGTATTAGTAAATGTTGCTGAAAGACCAATTTAGGCGTTTCAGCCTTTTGGTAGATAACTCCCTAATACCGTGGGAATTAGGGAGTTATCTACTAAGCGGCTGCAAGAGAAGTCCCGAAGTCCCGAAATACCGAAGAGCCGAAGTTCAAAGTCGCCGAAGATCTGAAGTGTCGAAGTTCCGAAGTGTCAAAGTGCCGAACCGAACTGAAGTGCCGAAGTCCCGAATTTCGGAATACTGAACCGAAAATTTTCCCCATGCACATCCCTACTGATGACACTCTAGTTACCTTGACCGAACCTACAATTTCCGTTAAATATCTAATGAAGGAAATAGACAAATTTAGTAAGATCTCAAATTACAAAATAAACATTGAAAAGACGATTGCCCTCTTAATGAATATAGATACAAATTTGAAACAGAATATTTTATATACTTATAACTTCATTGAAATGAAGGATGTACAGTGGGACCTCGGTTTACAAACGCCTCGGTTAACATAATTTTCGGTTTACAAATAAAAATCTTTTGAAAATAATGCCTTGGTTTACAATTTTTTTTCGCAATACAAAGCAAGTTTCCCCAGGATGCATTGCATCTGGGAGGTTAATAGCACCGCCCCTGCATGCTGAAGCCTGTGGGTGGCACGTGGCATCAAGTGTGGAGGTGTTGGAGCGGCTTTTGCATCAAGTTTTGGAGCCATTCTGGAAATTGTTTTCAGTTGTTTTGGAACTTCTTGGTGCATTTCTCAAGCTGTGGAAAGGTAGGGAGCTGAGCTTTGTCGTTTGCATGCCTATTATTGTGTGTTCTGCATTGTTGGTTGGTTTCCATGCCAGCTCATTTTGACTTTTTTCTGACCTCCAGAATGGATTAATTGGTTTTCAATGCATTCCTATGGGAAAACGCGTTTTGGTTTACAAATGTTTCGCAATAAGAAACGTCCCGGAGGACGTATTAAATTAGTAAACCGAGGTCCCACTGTATTTAATTACTTGGGAGTTATGTTCCCTAAAAACTGGATAGGATTGTAGAAACTAATGTATTGAGGATTATAAAAACTACTAACATTACTCTGAAAAAAATGAGGCAGTGTGATGGCAAATTGTTTGGGTAGAAATAATATCGTAAACGCATACATTCTCCCTGTATGGACCTACTTCTTTAAAATGGTACCCTCACAATACCAGAGTGTTGGTTAGATCTCATTCATTAGAAATTTCATATGGAAGGGGAAAAAATCTCAAATAGAATTAAGGTGCCTAGGAAATAAAATTTATCAAGGAGGAGTAAATTTCCCTAATATAAAACAGCATTATAAAGCCAGTAGGATATACCATGTGAATTTGTTAATTAAAAAAACATCAAGTAAAGAAGGGTGGTTTAGATTGGATTTGGAAACTCTGAATGGGTCTGAGTTGTACAAACTGATTTGGCATAAGAAAAGCTATTTAAGGTTGAAACAAATAAAAAATAAGATAATGGTACACATTCTTATAATATGGTACAAATGAGAAATAAAACAGTGTACAGATAAAATATTTGGTTTAATGGAAATAGAGACATTAGAATTCCTCATCCAAGATTTATCTCTGGCAAAATGGAAGGGTAAGAATATTAATTAGGGATCAACCAATATTGATTTTTTTAGAGCCAATACCGAATTCGGGGAACTTTCAGTCTGATAGCTTACCGGAATTCTGTACATTTACCGTTTTGGAAAAAAGAAAATTTCTACACAAATCTACTGTAACATGATTATTATTTTTTTTATTGCAAATCTTTTTTTTTAAGCGGTAAATGCACAAAATATACATGCCAGTCAGATTTGTTTTATGTTTTCAAGAATATTTGTGATTGTGTGTAGTGGATGCAGTGAATATTTGATTAGTAAATGCAGTGTGTGTTTGTGTAGTGGATGCAGTATGTGTGTATGTGTGTGTGTAAATATGTGCGGTAGGAATTCTCCCCCCTTACCTGTCTCTTAGTGCCCCCCCTCCCCCCATACACCTTAATGTTCCTCTCCCCCTCTACCCCAATGTTCCCTTTCCTCCCCTGTACCTTAGTGCCCTCCCTTAATGTTCCTCTCCCTATCCCCTAGTGTTCTTTCACCCCCTCAGAGTGTGCTTTCCTCACCCCCTCCCCTGTCCCACAGTGTTCTTTTCTTCTCCCACCTCCTCCCCAGTCCCTTAGTGTTATTTCCTTCTCCCCCCTCAGTGTTCCTCCTACTGCCTTGTCTCCCACGGTAGAGGAGATTCAGTACCCGGCCGGACTGACAGGAAGTGCTCTCTCATTGAGCACTTCCTTTCAGTCCGGCTGGGTACAGGAAACATAAGTTCCTGTACCGCGGTGCGCACTGCTCCACTCGGCCACACTACACAGAATGCATGGCAGGAGGGAGCGCTATGCACCCACCTCTTGCCATTCACTTCAGTCTAGCGCCCCCCACCGAGACGTTTGTGCCACCTTATGGACGCGCTGGCCAACCTCATTATCGGTATTACCAGTGATTATCGGTTGATATTTACCAAATATATGATTATTGCCCGATAATATCAGCAAAACCGATAATCGTCGATCCCTAATATTAATACCTTGGATAAGAGTATGAGTGGGATAAGTATTAAACTACAATATTCCAAATTCTGAAATATTTAATTATTTAAGGATCAAGTTGTATTTATCAAAATATATGTTTAAGGGATCAGATAGACAGAATAATCTTATGAAATAAGTGTAAAGATACTGGCCAAATGTTATGATTTAGTAATGATAACCCTATTGGAGGAAAAATCTAAGGTAATTTTAAAATGAGAAAAGGAATTTAAAGGGACACTATAGTCACCAAAACAACTTTAGCTTAATGAAGCAGTTTTTGTGTATAGATCATGCCTTTGATGTATCATTTCTCAATTCTCTGCCATTTATGAGTTAAATCACTTTTGTTTCTGTTAATGCAGCCCTGGTCACACCTCACCTGGCTGTGACTCACACAGCCTGCATGAAAAAAAAAAAATGGTTTCACTTTCAATCAGAGAGTAACTTACTTTAAATGTTTTCATCTCCCGCTCTCTAAATTTAATCGCATACAGGAGACTCCTGCAGTGTTGTGCAAGTTACTAACAGAGCAGGAGATAAGAAATTCTCAATTGAACAGAATTAGCAATAAAGGAAGTGTAAACATTAGATGACTCTTTCAGTGTTTAGGAAAGCAGTGTAAGTCACATGCAAGGAGGTGGGACCAGGGCTGCAATAAAAAAGTGATTAAACTGCTAAATGGCAGATAATTGAGTAGTGAAACTGCAGGGGCATGATCTATACACCAAAACTGCTTCATTAAGCTAAAGTTGTTTTGGTGACTATAGTGTCAATTTAATGTTAAAATCAATCTTAACGAATGCGGTAAAGCATTAGTTGGAGTCAATAAACATATTCACAATTTATCATTGAGAGAAACCTTCTAGATGGTATCTGATCCTATGAGATTAGCCAAAATCAACCCAAATACTTCAAGATTTTGTTGGAGATGTGGAGTTGCAATAAGTAGCTACAAACACATTTGGTGGAGTTGCCTGAAAAGTAAAAAATTACGGGAATGGGCCTATGAGATTTTGATTGGCATGGATCAGATTAAAATAGAACGTAAACCTCAAACGGGCCTCTTGCATTTGTTCTGGCCCACCCTAAACAAAACTCAATACTATCTTGGTTTCACAGCAATTAAAATTTTAATAGCAAGAGATTGGAAACAACAACATGAAATACAATACTCTCAGCGGAAAGAACAAATTATTTATCAATTAAAAATGGAAAATGGCATGGGTTGGGTAAATAATTCATCTTCTAAAAGCAAGATAAGGGAACAAGGTCTTCAAAAAGCACTAGCACTTTTATAATACAATTATAATACGCCTATATTATCACACAAATTTAAAATAGATAATTAAATCACTCTTTGAGAATCCAGCTTAGGGAAAGTCCTCTCAGACTCTTATGTAATGTTGGTTAAGTATGTGTAATGTTTAATATGGATGTATGTTGGATGTAATAATTGTATTGTTTGTATATTTATGCAATATAAAATTAATTTTAAAAAAAATAAAAAATTGGAAGCCAGGTAGAAAATAAAAGAATAAAAAGTAAAATGGCACACTCACAGATGGAAGTACCAAAATACCGTTATTTAAAACAATATAAAATATCCACAATGCGTTTCACCAACAAGGCGTTATCAAATGGAGATAAAAAGGCAGGGAAAGTTTTTTTTTTAATGAAATACGAACATGACAGATTTGAAATTGGCACCTAAATTACATCATAATTGTGTAATTGACTTTTTTTTTTTTAATTTATAATTGGTGTTTTAACAGTATTGTGAATAAGTTCCTATTGGTAGGGACTGCTTGTTACGATTAAATGCAAAAAAAAAACAAAAAAACACAATTTTACCATAGTTAGCTTAATTTATTTTATATTGCACTATTAGTCTTTTCTTTTTACATACAGATTTGATGAATACCCGGATCTGACACTTTTTTTGAAGAATATTTCTGGACAGATTTGAGGCTATATCTACTGGCAAGTTTTATTGGAACTTTTATTGTATTATTCATATATTGGTCCTTTTGTTTTGTTTTTTTTACTTCTTATAGTTATTTGTACCTATACATGGTCTATACTGTTTTGGTGCAACCTTATCTCCTCCTTTGTATAGTGTTAAACTACCTGTTTAGATGACTGATCTCCCTCAAATTACATTGAAAATGGGATTTTACTCCTGTTTTCACCATCACATTGCCAGTCACGCTGCGGCTGGTGCCGCCTTCATGGCCGAGATCACCAATCTTGACGATCGCATTCAGTCCAAAGCTTTCCCATAGGAAAACATTGGGAGGCTATTGAACATGCAAGGCAAAACGCTGCACCAATTAGCATCTCCTCATATACAGTATCTCACAAAAGTGAATACACCCCTCACATTTTTGTAAATATTTTATTATATCTTTTCATGTGACAATATGGAAGAAATGACACTCTGCTACAATGTAATGTAGTAAGTGTGCAGCCTGTATAACAGTGTAAATTTGTCACACAGCCATTAATGTCTAAACCGTTGGCAACAAAAGTGAGTACACCCCTAAGTGGAAATGTCCAAATTGGGCCCAATTAGCCATTTTCCCTCCCCGGTGTCATGTGACTCAGTGTTAGAAGGTCTCAGGTGTGTTAAATTTGGTGTTATTGCTCTCTCATACTGGTCACTGGAAGTTCGGCATGGCACCTCATGGCAAAGAACTGTTTGAGAATCTGAAAAAAAGAACTGTTGCTCTACATAAAGATGGCATAGGCTATAAGAAGATTGCCAAGACCCTGAAACTGAGCTGCAGCACGGTGGGCAAGACCATACAGCGGTTTCACAGGTTCCACCAACTGGAATCTGTATTAGTATTATTTTTAAAATTCAAACTCATGACTTTTTTCAGAAACCTGAAAACGTGTTTCTATAAAAGTAGAGATATTTTCACATTACATAGAAATGCACTTTGGAAACAAAGCTAAAATGTTTATTTTCTTAATAATTAACATATATTAGCCCAAGTTCAAAAAAGTGTCAAGTTCTATAAAATTGATTGATAGTGATGTCCCGAACGGTTTGCCGCGGACGGCGAACATATGACCCTGTACCTCACAGTCAGCAGACACATTCCAGCCAATCAGCAGCAGACCCTCGCTCCCAGACCCTCCCACCTCCTGGACAGCATCCATTTTGAAGATGCATTCTTAGTGAGCTGTCCAGGAGGTGGGAGGGTCTGGGAGGGAGGGTCTGCTGCTGATTGGCTGGAATGTGTCTGCTAACTGTGAGGTACAGGGTCATATGTTCGCCATCCGCTGCGAACCGTTCGGGACATCACTACTGATTGAATAAAATAGGAGACCTAACAACCTATATAATATAAAGCACATAAATACATAAACCCTTCTCTTCTAATAGTCACTAGTAGGTCCTTAAAGAGAGCTGTCACTTACCTACATGGCTCAAAAATGTACCTTATAATGAATTTAGGCGTCTGAGACGAAATTGCACAGAGTTTGAAGTATATAGGTAACAAGCAGATATTGTAAAGAAGAAATTCCTGTCAAAAAATTATCAATGCAATGAAATAGAGGATGCTCTGTGTAGAGTAGATAATTTAGATCGTATAAATATTTTAAAGAAGAGAGAGAAATTACAAGTGACAAGACAAGAAAAATTTCCAGCGATTATCCTAAACTTCAACAAAGAAAATGTACAATTAAAAAGAATACTTACAAAACACTAGCATCTATTGAAAAAAGATACAATTCTTGCTAGTAGCTTACCAGAAAGACCCAAAATTATTTTTAGGGGTGCACCTAATCTGAGAAGGAAAATAACAAATAAACATCTAAAAGGAAGAAAGGATACGACTAAAACAAAAAAAGAATGGTTTCTTCTACTGCTTAGATTGCATTGCATGTAAAACAAGCAAGAATAAACAAACAAAGGGAGTATTTGAAGTCATAAAGAATTGCACAAAAAAGACGGAATCTTTTAAAATAAAAGAACATATCACCTGTCAGAGTACTAATGTGATCTATGTACTGGAGTGTCCGTGTGGACTCAAGTATGTAGGAAGAACCAAGAGGAAGTTGTATGTGAGAATTAGAGAACATATGCTGAATATAAAGAAAGGTTATATGCAGCATTCAGTTTTAGCCCATTTTCAACAACACAATTCAGATATGAGCCTTTTGAATTTTAAAGGGATATGTAAAGTAAATAAGAACTGGAGAGGGGGAGATCATAATAAACAATTAGGCATTACTGAGATGCAATGGATATACAAATTAGATACGTTGCAGCCTAAGGGATTAAATGCGGAGTTTGAGCTTTGTCACTTTTTGGAATAAAATTTTTTTTAAATATATTTTTTAATTTTTTTATCAGGATTGCTATTTTTATTACGATCTACCTTACCTAGAAAATATACAGGGAGTGCAGAATTATTAGGCAAGTTGTATTTTTGAGGATTAATTTTATTATTGAACAACAACCATGTTCTCAATGAACCCAAAAAACTCAATTAATATCAAAGCTGAATATTTTTGGAAGTAGTTTTTAGTTTGTTTTTAGTTATAGCTATGTTAGGGGGATATCTGTGTGTGCAGGTGACTATTACTGTGCATAATTATTAGGCAACTTAACAAAAAACAAATATATACCCATTTCAATTATTTATTATTACCAGTGAAACCAATATAACATCTCAACATTCACAAATATACATTTCTGACATTCAAAAACAAAACAAAAACAAATCAGTGACCAATATAGCCACCTTTCTTTGCAAGGACACTCAAAAGCCTGCCATCCATGGATTCTGTCAGTGTTTTGATCTGTTCACCATCAACATTGGTGGTTGGTATTTGGTTAATACCAAGTGGAAAAGAAAAGCAGGTTTAAATTTTAGTATTTGTTTTTTTTTATTTTTATTTTTTTTCTCTTTTTGGGTTTTGTTTTGTTTGTATTTTGTGGTTTTTTTTTTGTTTTGTTTTTACTTTTACCCTTTTTAAAAAAAACAAATTATTTCTCCTTACTGTTTTGATTTATTTTAATATTTTGTAACTTTTTTCCCCTTTTCATATATATATATTTTTTCTCTTTGGATATATTTAAACTTTGTTCCTTTTTTTTTCTTCTATATTTTCACCTTGCTGGTATTATTTAAAACATTTTCCCTCCCTTTTTTTTTATTTATTTATTTTTTTTCCTCTCTTGTTGTTTCTATTCCCCTCCTTGTGGGTGCTGCTGCTGCTGAGCTAATTAGGGGGAGTGCCCCTTAATTTCCACCTGTGTGGGATTTGTATTGCAAATATAAACCCACTACTGACTCACAGAGCTTGCTCACTGGAGTTTGCTTGAAAGTAGGCTATTTCAAGTAGTCTCTTTTAAGTAGGAGTTAAAACAACAGGAGTTGAAACTACAAGGGAGTTTAAACCAAGAGGGTTAACATTTTTTTATTTTTATTTTTCTCACTTGTGTTTTTTGTTACTGGGGATGAGTGCTAGCAAGATTGCAAATTTAACTCAGTGCACATCATGCCGCATGTATGCATGCCTGGATGATTCTGTCCAGGGTCCATACCTCTGTGGTGGGTGTGAGCAAGTGGCATTTCTGGAAGCTCAGATTAGAGATCTGGAGAGGCAAATTGTAACACTGAGGGAGATTGACAATCTTGAGAGGAGTCTGCTGCTCACTGAGCAGAGTTTAGTGGGGACAGGTAGTGGAGAGGGAGGAGATAAGATAGATGGGGAACAGGCACGTAGCTGGGTGACAGTGGGGAGAGGAAGCAGGGGGGGAGGGAAGAGAAAAGGTTTAGCTAGTCCTGATCTCATGCAGCCTAACAGATTTGCCCGTTTGAGTGAAGATGTTGGGAGCATCAGCTCAGGAGTAGCTGTACTGCAGGAAGCTGTTCCTGCTAACAGCCGTGGAAACAGCCCCTCTAGTACGGGTGGGGTTGAGAGGGTAAGGAGAGGGTAAGGAAGGCTAGACAGGTTGTGGTGGTAGGGGACTCTATTATTAAGAGAGTAGATAGGGTAATCTGCCACTCTGATCGACTCAACCGGACAGTTTGCTGTCTCCCGGGTGCTCGGGTCCGGCATGTTGCCGACAGAGTGGAGGGATTATTGGGAGGGGCTGGAGATGACCCAGCTGTCATGGTCCATATTGGTACCAATGACAAAGTCAGAGGAAAATGGAAGGTCCTAAAGAATGAGTTCAGGGAACTAGGAAGTAAGCTAAAGAAAAGGACCTCCAAGGTAATTTTTCAGAAATATTACCTGTGCCGCGCGCTACAGCAGAAAGGCAGCGGGAGATTAGAGAGGTCAATGTGTGGCTAAAGTCTTGGTGCAGGAAAGAGGGTTTTGGGTTTTTAGAGCACTGGGCCGATTTTGCGCTTGGGTACAACCTGTATAGTCATGATGGATTGCACCTAAACGGAAGAGGGTCTGCTGTGCTGGGGGATAGGATGGCTAGAAGGTTGGAGGAGATTTTAAACTAGTGGTAGGGGGGGAGGGTCAAAGCAATCTAGAAAATGGAGATAGGATGGAAAAGAGATGGGCTTTAGCTCAGAACAAAGGGGGTGGAGATGGGGGAGGGGAAAACTCAGAACAGAGGAGGTATGTAATATTGATAATTCACAAAAAGTACAAAAGACTCATGATAATATTAAATGTATGCTTACTAATGCAAGGAGCCTATATAACAAAATGGGGGAACTAGAGGCAATAGCATACACTAAACAATATGATATAATAGGCATAACAGAAACATGGTGGGATCAGACACATGACTGGGCAGTTAATTTAAATGGGTATACGTTATTTAGGAAGGATAGGAAAAACAAGAAGGGTGGTGGGGTATGTTTATATGTCAACCGTGAGTTAAAGTCAAATCTTAGGCATGTGGAGTGTGACTAGGAAAAGGTGGAGGCTTTATGGGTAGATATCTGCTTGGGGAAAACAAAGGGAAATCAATTATTGGTTGGGATATGTTATAAACCACCTAATGTAAATATTAATGAGGAAGAACAGCTGTTAGAGCAAATTGAGAAAGCTGCAAATCGAGGTAACACGTTAATTATTGGAGATTTTAATTATCCAGACATAAATTGGGAAAGAGGGACTAGTACTTCAGCAAGGGGAATCAGGTTTTTGAATGTGTTAAATGACACCTTTATGTCACAACTGGTACAAGCACCAACTAGACAGGATGCTTGTCTGGATCTTGTCATAACAAACAATGTTGATCTTTTAACCAACATTCAAGTAGGGGAGCATTTGGGAAATAGTGATCACAATATGGTAAATTTTGAAATAAACTCAAAAAAGCAAAAGCAAGTGGGGTATACTAAAACATATAATTTAAAAAAAGCCAATTTCAATAAGATTAGGGCAGCTCTACAACATATCAACTGGCATAAACTCCTTAGTGATAAAAACACTGAGGATAAATGGAAACTATTCAAACAGATATTAGAAAGGTACATTTCTCAGTATGTACCATTGGGTAATAAATATAAAAGAAACAAATTAAAACCAATGTGGCTTAGTAGAGAAGTAAAACAAGAGATTAAAAATAAGAAAAGGGCATTTAAAGCATTTAAATCATACAAATCAAAGGCATCCTATTTAAGATATAAGGAAGCAAATAACACTTGCAAAAAGGCAATTAAAGTGGCTAAACTAGAAAATGAGAAATTGATAGCTAAAGAATGCAAAACCAACCCCAAAATTTTTTTCAAGTACATCAATTCTAAAAAAACAAAAAATGAAAGTGTAGGTACACTTGAAACAGAGTTGGGTTTATTAGCTAATGAAGACCAGGAAAAAGCAGAAATTTTAAATAACTATTTTTCTTCAGTATATATTAATGAGGATCCTATGGCAAGAGATATGCAAATGTTTGCTGCAAAAAACTTGCAAATAACTTGTGATTGGATAACTCGAGACAAGGTGCTACAGCTATTAAAGAAAATTAATGTAAATAAAGCTCCGGGGCCTGACTGTATTCACCCACGAGTACTTAAGGAGCTAAGTGGGGAAATAAGTGAACCTCTGTATTTAATTTTTCAAGATTCTTTTGTTTCAGGTGTTGTACCGGAGGATTGGAGGAAGGCAGATGTTGTTCCTATATTTAAAAAGGGTTCAAAATCCTTGCCTGGAAATTATAGACCTGTGAGCTTAACTTCTGTAACTGGGAAAATATTTGAAGGGCTATTAAGGGATAATATTCAGGAATTCATTGGGAAGAACTTTGTTATGTTATTAGCAATAATCAGCATGGTTTTATGAAACATAGGTCATGTCAAACTAACCTAATTGCATTCTACGAAGAAGTAAGTAGAAGTATAGATCAGGGTGTTGCAGTGGATGTGATCTACTTGGACTTTGCCAAGGCATTTGATACGGTTCCTCACAATAGGTTAGTCTTCAAACTAAAAGAAATTGGTCTAGATGAATATTCCTGTTCTTGGGTAGAACATTGGCTTAAGGACAGAGTACAGCGAGTTGTCATTAATGGTAAATTTTCAGGCTGGACAAAAGTGGTAAGTGGTGTCCCTCAGGGTTCTGTTTTGGGACCACTTCTATTTAACATATTTATAAATGATCTTGAAATAGGCATTGAAAGCCACGTATCAGTGTTTGCAGATGACACAAAACTTTGTAAAGTAATAAAATGTGAGCAGGATATTGCTTTGTTGCAGAGAGATTTGGATAGATTGGGGGACTGGGCACTAAAATGGCAGATGAAATTTAACATAGAGAAATGCAAAGTTATGCACTTCGGGGTTAAGAATGCACAAGCAACTTACACACTAAATGGTAGTGAATTAGGGATAACCACACACGAGAAGGATTTGGGCATTGTTATAGACAACAAATTAGGCAGCAATATGCAATGTCAATCTGCAGTTGCTAAGGCCAGTAAGATTTTGTCATGTATAAATAGGGGCATAAATTCTCGGGATGAAAATATAATTTTGCCTCTTTATAAATCGCTGGTAAGACCACACCTTGAATATGCTGTGCAATTTTGGGCACCTGTTCTAAAGAAGGATATCATGGCACTAGAAAAAGTCCAGAGATGAGCTACAAAATTGATAAAAGGAATGGAGCATTTTAGTTATGAAGAAAGGTTACAAAAATTAAATCTGTTTCGTTTGGAAAAACGGCGCCTGAGAGGGAATATGATAACTTTATACAAATATATTCTGGGCCAGTACAAACCTTTATCTGGAAATCTATTCATAAACAGGGTTATACATAGGACACGAGGTCACACATTTAGGCTGGAAGAAAGGAGATTTCATCTAAGGCAAAGAAAAGGTTTTTACAGTAAGAACAATAAGGATATGGAATTCTCTGCCTGAAGAGGTGGTTTTGTCAGAGTCCATACAGATGTTTAAACTGAAATTGGATAAATACTTACAAAAACATAACATACAGGGATATAATTTCTAATTAGTGGGGTAATAGCTGATTGATCCAAGGAGACATCTGACTGCTATTTTGGGGTCAAGAAGGAATTTTTCCTAGTTTGTGGCAAAATTGGAAGTGCTTCAGACCAGGTTTTTTGCCTTCTTTTGGATCAACAGCAACAACATTTCTGAGGAAGGCTGAACTTGATGGACGCAAGTCTCTTTTCAGCTATGTAACTATGTAACATTGCGTGCAGCAGCAACCACAGCCTCCCAGACACTGTTCAGAGAGGTGTACTGTTTTCCCTCCTTGTAAATCTCACATTTGATGATGGACCACAGGTTCTCAATGGGGTTCAGATCAGGTGAACAAGGAGGCCATGTCATTAGATTTTCTTCTTTATACCCTTTCTTGCCAGCCACGCTGTGGAGTACTTGGACGCGTGTGATGGAGCATTGTCCTGCATGAAAATCATGTTTTTCTTGAAGGATGCAGACTTCTTCCTGTACCACTGCTTGAAGAAGGTGTCTTCCAGAACTGGCAGTAGGACTGGGAGTTGAGCTTGACTCCATCCTCAACCCGAAAAGGCCCCACAAGCTCATCTTTGATGATACCAGCCCAAACCAGTACTCCACCTCCACCTTGCTGGCGCCTGAGTCGGACTGGAGCTCTCTGCCCTTTACCAATCCAGCCACGGGCTCATCCATCTGGCCCATCAAGACTCACTCTCATTTCATCAGTCCATAAAACCTTAGAAAAATCAGTCTTGAGATATTTCTTGGCCCAGTCTTGACGTTTCAGCTTGTGTGTCTGGTTCAGTGGTGGTCGTCTTTCAGCCTTTCTTACCTTGGCCATGTCTCTGAGTATTGCACACCTTGTGCTTTGGGCACTCCAGTGATGTTGCAGCTCTGAAATATGGCCAAACTGGTGGCAAGTGGCATCGTGGCAGCTGCACGCTTGACTTTTCTCAGTTCATGGGCAGTTATTTTGCGCCTTGGTTTTTCCACACGCTTCTTGCGACCCTGTTGACTATTTTGAATGAAACGCTGATTGTTCGATGATCACGCTTCAGAAGCTTTGCAATTTTAAGAGTGCTGCATCCCTCTGCAAGATATCTCACTATTTTTGACTTTTCTGAGCCTGTCAAGTCCTTCTTTTGACCCATTTTGCCAAAAGAAAGGAAGTTGCCTAATAATTATGCACACCTGATATAGGGTGTTGATGTCATTAGACCACATCCCTTCTCATTACAGAGATGCACATCACCTAATATGCTTAGTTGGTAGTAGGCTTTCGAGCCTATACAGCTTGGAGTAAGACAACATGCATAAAGAGGATGATGTGGTCAAAATACTCATTTGCCTAATAATTCTGCACTCCCTGTAGGGATTGTCCTTTTTTAGTTATATATATTATACATACTCATTTCAAAGTTAATCCATTCTGAGGTTTTTAGCTCATTATGTAGGTATGATTTTATTTGAAGCAGTGTCAGAATGCATTCAGACCTCAATTTTTATACTGCCGTTATGTTTTTCATAAACACGGTTTGAAGCTGTAATATAGTAATGATTCATTTTAAAATGAGGATAGGATCAGATCTAAAGGAAGAATTTCTTTTATAAAACTTATTTTTATTTCATTTTCTTCCTTTGCTGAATTTGTTGATAACGGCAGTTACATTTAAACCTGCTCGAGCGGGTGTTACCATAGTAACGTCAATAAACAAAGAATAGAAATATATTGCACATAACGGAATAACAACTTGCAATTTTACAAAGTTTCTGATACAATATGACTGTTTAGTTATTTGAAGAACACCTGGATTTTTGCAACATGTATTGCTAAGTAACAATTTGCTGGGATTGAAATCAAGCCGGGAGATACTATAAAAATGAACACTAAGGGACAGACCGCATCTATTGAGAAAGCCGCCAAAGCGGAGAAACGCATCTGGAGAGGTCTGACTCCTATCGATACCAGCCATCACCTTTATTTTAAAGAGGACCATTATTTGATATTTTTCAGCACTTCACATCTTGCTGACTCGGGACGCCGAGTTTTTAATAAGGTCTGGACTCTTTTTTTAATGATTTTATGGACATATTTTTTGCAACAGATGAAGTTTCTTTTATATATGTCATGATATTCGATTATTAATAAATGGAATTTTAAGTTAGAGTGTATTAGTAAGGTCACAGACCTACTAGTGACTATTTATTAGAAGAGAAGGGTTTATATAAGTTCTATAAAATAAGTTTATACAGTCTATGCCCAACCACTTGTATCACCACCTCTGAATGTCCTAGAGTGGTGGCTCCCAACCCAGTCCTCAAGTACCCCCTAACAGTCCAGGATTTAGGGATTACGCAGTTGTGTCTAGGGTGTTTTTAGAAAAAAAAAAAAAAAACCTTGAGACACAACAGGGTAATCCAGAAATCCTTGACTGGTAAGGGGTACTTGCGGACTGTGTTGGGAACGCCTGTTCTAGCGAAAATTATTTTTTTGATGATTGCATCACAACAGTGAATAAAAATATTGTTGGAACTCACAATTACAAACATTGTCACATTTAGTAACATTACTTGCTTTTAATAGAACTTTAATAGAGTGGTAAAAAATACAAAAAAATCTTTAATAATTTAAATTTAAATTAAATATGTCAGAGAGAACAGCTGTCCATTTAATCACTTCTTTGTACTAAGGTTAGCATTTCAGTCGGACTGTAACCAACACAACAATTTTCATAACTGCAAAAATCCTTCATCCTATTCGGAGCTCATTCTCCAGCCCATGGATTTTGGCTTTTAGGTTGCGCAGCTCCCCTTGGATTTTGTGTGTGCGTTTGTTCCCTTGGCGCACAGCACTCAGGATTGCGAGGTCTTGGTCTGGGCCAATGTTTAAAGTTACCTAGAAAAATGGTGTAAATTTTTTTTTTTTTTTAAAACCTACAAACAATGGTTGTAATTAAATATTTGATTGTGCTATGCTACCAAAATTAATGTGTGGCTAACATTATTAAAGCAAAGTTGGTTTAATATAAAACTATAACTAACAAATTACATAGATAATAAACGGAGCAAGAGAGAAGGAGCGAGAGAGAGAGTACACATAGGAACCACATTCCTTGTATCAAAACAATAAGCTGTAGTAGTTATGGTTATTGGAGGATTAGAGTCATGTTGACACAGATCAAAATTCTGAAAGTAAAAAAAGTCATAGTTGAATAATATATACCACCTGAAGTGTATTTTTAAAGGGACACTCTAAGAATTAAAACCACTACAGTTTATTGTAAAAAGTTCTAGTGCTAGGAGTATATGCAAAGAATTCAAAGACTGAATGGTTTTGCACAGATAATGCAGAAATGTGGCTTCAGAGGAGGTGGGAGGTAAAGTGGGTGTTATGGGTACCTAAAAAGCCTAGGTTTTTGTTAAACTGCTCCAAAAACAGTTAACAGAAAACTTTGAGAGCTCCAATAAACTGATAGCACAAATAACACTACGATAAACTGTTGTGATTATGGTTCCTTTATTCTACATAAATTGTTTATTAATATATATAAAAAAATAAAAATAAAGTGTTGGCATTCACGTAAACATCCTGCAATTATTTTAAATACCCAATATCCATGTAATTGAAGTTTCAGTGCATTACTCTGACTCACCTTGAACAGCTGTTTCTCTACATCCTTTAACCTCTGCCTGAGCAACTTAATATCAGTTTTGAAGCCCTCAACCTCCATGTTGCGCCTCTTTTCCAGTGCCTCATAGCGCTGGGTCATCATTTGCAGTCTTTTGGCCACTTTATCAGAACGTTCCTAACAGATAAAATTAGAATACTGGAGATTAACCTGCTGGGTAACAAATTATGGCAAAATGTTGGATTTTGAGCCAGATGATAAAAAAATGGAAGCAAATCTACAGGTTTTCTGACAAAATTCATATATGTAGAAGGACGCTATGAAATTAGTCATATTCCCCCAAAGTAGTTCTATTTTCAATTTATGTTGTATTATTTTACAGCATAGGTTTTGTTTGGCCCCCCCAACTACTTTTTTTGCAGCCCGCAAGGCGGCTGTCGGATATCCAAAATCTGACCAGACCAAATCGAAAATTGGGCTGCTAGCATTGACGCTACATTCTGAGAGAAGCTCTCTCTTCACTCAATGTCAGGAACACACCTACTGCTCATTATGTGTAAAGGGGATGTGAACATAACGAAAAGTCATAGCTCTGCTCTCTTTCCACATACCGTACATCTGAAGGGAGAAATAAGAGGTGGAAAGGCAGTTTCCATAATTTCCTCCTGCAACTTCCCTCGGTTTGGATGTTTATAAGGGGGAGGTGTATATATAAACACACATTAAACCTAATGCTTCACGACTCTTGAGTTGGTACTGCAGCTGTGTGTAAAGGAACATTAATCGGTCTGTGTGACCACATCTGGAAATATAAATGTGGGCATTTTGGAGTACGATTCTGTGGTACTAATAGAAGACAACTTGGCCAAATGATACCTTGTTAGTTGAGTTTGGGACCCCTTCTCTAGAGTTTCTGACTACAACATCCAAAATTAGCTGGTAGAGAATAAGCCATGCAGTAGACTAACTGCTGGAGAGACCCTAGGTAAGTGGAGTCACTCAAAGCACCGATGGTGATGGTAATTTATGATTGATCTGAATTTAAAGACTGCACAGTGTCTCTCACCTTTTTTTTTTTTTTAATTCTTTATTTTTGTCGTGCATGTATCAACTAAATTACACAAAGCCACATCAGCGTCTGTGTGCATCTTACAACATTTGACAACGTCACAGGTTAATACTGCACATTTTTAAGGTTAAGGCAGTATGTAATATTCCATTTTTGGTTATTTTTACATTTATAGTCAGAATTTTTGGAAAGCCCCAGATAATGAACTCTAAATATTGTCAACAGGACAAGGTGCCGTAGTGTCTCTCACCTTAAAGATTTCACGCCCCACGTCACCCTCTTCTCGGATCCTCGCCAGTTCGTCTTCCAGTGCCACACACTGCTCCCGGTACATATCTGACAGACGGTGCACTTGTGCCAATTGCTCTGTGAGAGACTGGACAAAGCAGGGATGTGAGTTTGGGGAACAAAAATAAAATGGTGCAAGGTTAAGACTGAGAATGGCAGACAAAAAAAATAAATAAGATTTCTTAGTATGGGAGAAGCAGTTAAACTCAGTTTGCAGTGTTTTCAAGCTTTACCAATGCAGAGTGATATTTTAGAAAGGATAGCAGTTGGCAGTGAGTCTGCAGTTGGCAATCATCTAGGTCTAGGAGGTAAGCAGAACATGAATTATGCTGCATAAAGTGTTCTAAGAGGCATGTGGGAGGATTAACCTTTTATTCACCCCCGGTGTAGAACATACCTTTAATGCATCGTCATGTGGGAAAACAGAAATTTTTACTTACCGTAATTTTTTTTTTTCTTAATATGGTGGCAGTACATGTGGGTTTTGCTCCTTTCCTGTGGACAAGCATCTAACAAGAGTAATTAAGTTAACAAACCCCTCCCCTTTGCCCTATATAAGGGCTATCCGGCAAAACCTACCCCAGTAAGTAGCAAGAATAAAAACAAAAAAAAACATATACACACACACACACAGTATTCAAGAAGAGAGCACTCTGGAGTCTTATAATTTAAAAGTAAATGCCTCTTTATTGTGCAGAATACAAAAAATGTCGACGTTTCAGTCAATGCTGACTTTTGTGAAAAAGTCAATTGATCAGTATGCACCAAAATGTCTTTCAAACTTTTCCCTTTCCTATAACTCATGATAGGTGGCTTTTGGAACAGTGTGGGCAGAGTTGAATCTTTACTAATAGTCATCCAATTCTCCAAAATATTTGAACGTAGCTTATCGGAGTTAGGATGATAGGCTTGAGGGAAAATAAATTGATCTCCGATATTATGATAGATCTTTTTCTCTGAGATAGACTGTAGAGCCTTAATGTAAGCTGAGTTTAAGGAAGATTTTGAATATCCCCGAGCTTTAAATTTAAGGTACATCTCCTGTATCTGATTCTGTGCAATATCTGGATTAGAATTATTACAAAAAACTAAAACAGAGATAGGGAGAGATTTTTTCAATTTATGTGGATGGAAGCTCGAGGCGTGAAGCAGAGTATTGCGATCTGTTTCTTTGGAATATAAAGTATACCCAAATTCGTTATTATGGATGAAGATTTGCAAGTCAAGAAAATTTATCTTTGAAGTACTGGTCTGCCAGATGAATTATTTAATTCATACATCATGGACTCAAACTCTTCTGCTGTACCAATCCATAACAGTAAAAGGTCATCGATAAATCTCATAAAGTGCAAGATATTTGTTGCATACTTCTCAAGAATGTAATGTTTTTCATAGATGTACATAAATGAATTGGCGTACATGGGGGCCATCGGAGCTCCCATGGACGTTCGAGTCAATTGTGTGTAGTAAGTAGACTCAAATCTAAAATAGTTTAAGGTTAGGCACGCCTGTAAGAGATCTAAGATATAGTCCACTGGAGATCTTGAAATTGAGGCTGCCCCCCTCAGTACCTCCCCCATTGCCTCTAACCCTTCCTGATGAGGGATAGAGGTGTACAAACTGCAGACGTCAATTGTGGCCAAAAGCAATCCATTAGGTTGAACTACCAATTCCTTCAGGATTTTGATAACATCATTGCTATCCTTGATACAAGTACTTCGTGACATCACCGGCTCTTTAAAGAGCTTGTCCAGCCATCTCCCTATTGGTTCCAGCAGACCCCCAATTGCTGAAACTATTGGGCGGCACGGTGGATGGACACAGTCTTTGTGCACTTTGGGGAGGGTATAGAGAATTGGACATCTAGGATAGAGTTCATATAAATAGTCAAATTCATTGTGGGTGATTTATTTGCATTCAACTCCATGCTTTAACAAATTCTGAATGGCTCTACCTAATAGGGTTAATACACACCTGCAAAGTCTTTCCTACCACGTCATCTTTGACGTCACCTGACCTCGTTTTCATCATTTTTCACCCACCAATGTGAACTGTTTTGTTACGTATATAATCACTGGTTATTCACTATATGAATTGTCTTGAAAAAAAGTCAGCATTGACTGAAATGTCAAAAATTTTTGTTTTCTGCACAATATAGCAGCATTTACTTTTTAAATTACAAGACTCCATAGTGCTCTCTTCTTGGATACTTTATACTGGTTGGAGATTGTTTGCACCGGAGCACGAAAAGACCGGGAACCTTGAGTGCTGGGATATATATTCTGCCACCATATTAAGAAAAAAAGAATTTACGGTAAATAAAAATTTCTGTTTTTTCTGGCATACGGTGGCAGTACATGTGGGATATAGCAAGATACACCAACCGAGTGGGTCAAATGCTAGTACAGCTCGCAAACTTTACGCCCAAAGGCCATTAACGAGGCTGAGAATATCTCAAGCCTGTAGAGAATAACGAAGATGTGGAAAGGCAGGCCAAGATGCTGCCTTACGGACATCTACTGGAGAAACATTACCTGAGTGAAAAGAGCCGTAAGAGATATTGGCACTTAAGGACCACAAGAAAAATATGCCAATCTACTTGCTCGTCTGAGTCAATTTAAACCAAAGTTTTTTGCAGGAAGCTCCGTACCCCTGGAATCTACACTGGAGGTTAACAAACAACAGGCCAGAATACCTGAGCTCCTCAGTCCTAGGAAGAAAAACCTTGCAATGCTCCAAGAAAAAAAAAACAAAAAAAAAAACACAACTCTTTAAGCTCCTGAAGAGAGGTGGGACAACCACCCAAGGGAAAGCAGACACAATCGGTTGACTTGTAGGGAAAAAAAAGGAAGTTTTGTAAGGTGAAGAACCACCCTGTCCATAGCAATACTGCAAAAATCATCTGGGGAAGAAAATGCCTGAAGCTCATTGAATCTTTTAGCTGGTCTGACGGCCACTTAGAGGAACGAAACCTGTAAGAGACACCTCTTCCAAAAGATCGAAAGAGGGACACAAATAGCTGGAAAATTCAATGATAAACCCTGGGCAGGAAAAAAACAGATCTCTAGGAGGATGTCTGGACCTGACCGATCACAACAAATCTATAGATTAACAAACAGATGCAAAATCTTTCTCAGTGAGTCTTAAGACTGAGGCTTGAACTTCAAAGCAGAAAGACCCAAGTCTGCAGAAAAAAAAAATTCAGAAAAATTTGAAACATGGGTCTTAGAGACAGATGAACACGCGGGCAATGGTGTTCCCACCATCAAAAAACCCCAAAAAACCTGACCTTTATATGAAAGTAGACAGAAAAAGCAGGAAGTCTAGTTTAACACAGCAGTAGCCAGGCCGTAAACCTGAACTTCTACAGAACCCTAGGTTAGATTCCTGTTTATTATGAGATTGTACGAGATTGGAAGTTCCCACTGTGTGGGGGCCATCTTCTTTAACGTCGGGAACAAGAACCTTGTTTGGCCTAGAGTAGAATAGGAACCAGGATCGAGTTCCGACTGCCCTAATTTCCGAAGAATCCTTGGAAATCGTGTCAACGGAAGAAAGACATAAGCAAGCCTAACATTACATTACAATGAGAGTATCTCTATTCATCGAAGGGACCTGCTCTGAACAGGGAGGAAACTTGGGGAACTTGGCTTCTGTAATGCTTGCCCTAAGGGTCAAGTCTGGAAAAAAATCAAAGCTCCTCTCCAGAACATAAAACAACACATGGAGCTCAGGACCAAACTCTTTGATTCCAATTACCCCTGCCGAGCTTGACAGCTATGTAATTGTCGATCCCTCTGAAAAGAAAACTGCCGAAATATCTACTAGATATTTTTGCACCACAGCAAGATAACTGCCTACAGGCGATAAAGAGTGCCTACTCTGATTCCTCCTTGCTGGTTGACGTATATAAACCCATTGTACACGAGTCCATTTGAATCTATATGGCCTTCCGCTGCATCCACTGACTGGAGGGGTGAAGGCGGAAAACATGGCTGAAATCCCTGAAACTGCGCATTTTACCTTAACCTAAACCTCGAAGTATGATGGAAACTAGATAAGCTCACCAAACAGTTTCGACAGCATCTGTAGTGAACTTCAGACGCAAGAAACAGGCCTCCTGAAAGGAACTCTGAGGACTTACACCAAGAAAGTAAAGCTTTTACACAATGGGAAAAATTGAAAAAAAAAAAAAAAAACCCCATCTAGAGCCTCTACTTTTCCCAGCTAGGCTGATAGAATCTCCCATTTAGAGTCCACTAAAGGACTAAGCTCTGATGGAACAATATCTTTCAAATCCGGATCTGCTTCTACCAACTCCCTTACTCTATGATTGGAAAAAGAAAACCAACAACCTGTTGGACTGAAACACGAGACTAAGGAACTCCTTGAAAGTGAATAAGGATCCCTGGATGTCTGGTAGCGTCAGACATGTCTACCTCTGTTCTGATCCCAAATTATCTAAATTTTAGGTGCGGTATCAGCCGTCTATGATTGCAACCATAAAGTTACCAAACACAGACCTAAAGAGAAAACAAATGAATCATTCTTTGACAATTGCCAATTTAGGCACTAATGTAGCATAGGTTAATCCTGATCTCCAGGAATCATGTTCAGTATTGCATTGAGCAACCAGGAGAGGAGAAGAAAAAAATATATAGCTCTGGTTACCGCAGCTCCCGCAAGTAAAGCTGTCTGATAGGATTCCTAGAAATAACCCAACATGTGGATACATATATAGAGGTGGCGACCTCACAGTAACTAATGTATAGAGCAAATAGAGGATATATATACTGAGGTAGTAACCTCCTAGAACACATCCCTAGAGAATACCTATACTGAGGCTCTGTAACCACAGAAACTCATTCATAGAGCATATAGAGGATAGAATTACCAAGGCTGTGTCCTTATAGTAACTATTACATAGAGCATTATACTGTGCTGTGTCCTCCTAACTCCAACATACAGTATAGAAAAAAAAATAAAAATCACATATACTGAAACCGAACCCTCATAGAAACACATATATTGAGCATTTATCATATAGCAAAAAAAGGCTACGTAGTAAGAGGCCGTGTCCTTCCAATAACTCCTACATAGAGCCTATAGTGGATACATATACTGAGGGTGAGTCCACATAGTAACTCATACATAGTGCCTATGGTGGGAACATATACTGAAGCTGAGATCTCACAAACTCAACCTAGAGTATATAGTGGATACATCTACAGAGGTTGTGTCCTCTTAAAAACTCATACATAGAGCATGTAGTGGGTATATAGACTGAGGCTGAGTCTATATAGTAACTATACCTAGCGCATAAAAGTGGATGCATATACTGAAGCTGATTCCCTACATCAACACGTCGTAGAGCATATAGTAGATACATATAGAGAGGCAGAGACCTCATAATAACGCATACATAGAGCCTCTAGTGGATACATATACTGATGGCTGAGTTCTCACATTAACTCATATATAGAGCCGATACTGAGGTTTAGTCCTCATAGTAACTCATACAAAGCTCACATCAACTCGTCATAGAGCATATAGGATACATATACAGAGGCTGTCCTCATAATAACTCCTACATAGAGCATCTAGTGTATACTCACACTGAGGCTGAGCCCTCCTAGAGCATATAGTGGATAGAATATACTTCTCCCAGCAACTCGTCATAGGGCATATAATGGGTACATATACTGCTCACAGTAACTCCTACATAGAGCATATAGTGGATATATATAGAAGCTGAGACCTCACAGCAATTTATCATAGAGCATATAGAGGACACATACTGCTCATAGCAACTCGTCATAGCTCACAGTAACTCATACATACAGCATATAGTGGAGATAGAGATAGAGATATATATAGAGATATAGATATAGATATAGATATAGATATATATATATATATAGAGAGATATAGAGATATATAGATATACAGAGATATATAGAGATATATACACACACATACACACACCCTTTCGGTTTGCGCATGCGTACTAGCGCAACCGGAAGCTTAGGTGGAACGCAGCACCACCCGGGCGTGCGTTCCACTGATGTGCGCCGGATAAACTCAGCCTCCAGGAAGTATTGCCGGAACCCTTCTCGGCATAAAAGGAATCACATCTCCACTTACTCCGTAACCTACCGGTCGGAAGCATGGTCTCTCAACCTACCACCCGAGCAGCTCTCGGACCGGATCCCCCAGACCAACAGCCTGTGTGTCTCACCATCTAGATGCTGTGTCCTTCCCTCTCAGGACAAGAAAGGAAACTGGGGTAGGTTTTGCCGTAAAGCCCTTATATAGGGCAAGGGGGAGGGGTTTGTTAACTTAATTAATCTTGTTAGATGCTTGTCCACAGGAAAGGAGCAAAACCCACATGTACTGCCACCATATGCCAGAAAAAGTAGTATATAGTCATAACTAAATAATTTACAATTTAGTCATTATACCCAGAGGAATAGAATTGGGAAATGCCTATATCATGCAACTGTCAAATGTGCATTGAGGACTATGAACCACAGATCTACAGCTTCCCCGTAAAAGAAGCTTTTTATCCTATCCAAACAGCATGGCTACGGTAATAGATTACCATATCTTGACAAATTAATGTTAAACTTAATGACAGAATTTTGGAGGGGCATCAACGCTATAATGTTACATCAGACCTTATGCTTTCACGAGCAAACTTACATCAGTGGTTTGTCTGGTAATATTCGGGGATGCTAAACATAGGTTTCATTTCCCTACATCCAGGTAGTGGATTTAAAAAAATAAAAATAAAAAAATAAATAAAAAAATGGCACCAGTCTTGCACAGTTTAAAGCAGGAGAGACATTGCAGGTTTATGAAATTGAGTCGACGGGCGTGGTTTGCAGGCGAGCAAGATGGACGTGTCCATGTAAAGCTCTGCTGCAGCCACGGTGCCAACTGCTAACTACAGCCGAGATATAATTGCAAAATACCTGCAGAGGCAGGAGACCCATGATGGACAAGAGGGCCCCGAGGAAACAGGGGAAAAAAGCGATGGAATCGGGTGCCACCGTCTCGGAGCTGTTCGCGGCCTCCCGCGCTGTGCGTCTAAGCACCCAAGATGGCGGACGGGAAGGTCAGGGAACGCCGCGCTCGCCATCAAGCCCAGGCAGCAGTGCGGCTACAGGTACTCGGGAAACAGATACCGGCCAGATACTGGCCAAATTAGCGGAGGTCCGCTCCTACCTTGCTACTGAAATAGTCAGGAGCTCGGACGAGGTGAAAGCGGAGATTCAGGCTGTAGGGACGAGGACGGCTGCATTGGAACAGCGGGTGGAGTCCACGGTTGTGGCCCACAACGCTGCTGCCGCACAGATTAATATTCTGACGACCCGACTGATCTCTGCTGAACTGGCAATTGAAGACCTCGGAAATAGATCGCGCCGAAACAATATTCGTCTTCGGGGCTTGCCTGAGCAGGAGGGGGAAGGGTCTCTGATTGAGGTCGTTTCGGGCATCCTTAGGCCGCTTCTCCCCGACATGCCGGACCAGCTTTGGCATATTGAGCGGGCGCATCGGGCTCTCCGGGCTAAGCGGTCAGATGATCGGCGGCCGAGAGATGTGATTATTAAATTCCTCTGCTTTCAAACTAAGGAGGCCCTGATGAAAAGGGGCAGAAATAGCCCTATCACCCATAAAGGAGTGGAGCTGGCCCTCTACCAGGATCTGACCCCAGCCACACTACAGAAAAGGCGAGAGTGGCGCCCCATGACCGAGGTATTACAACACCATTCGATCAAATATGCCTGGGGTCACCCTTTCCGTCTGATGGCCTTTCACGACGGCCGCACTAAGATCTTGTTTCCCGACGGTGATCCAGCGGCGTTCCTGCGGGAGCTGGGGATTCAGGCCCCTGAAGGTTTCGTGGTTCCGATGGCGACGGCGGAGGTGCTGGGATCCCTTCCACGTGTTTGGTCCGAGGCGGGTGAGTGAGGAGAGAGGAATTTTGCTCCCGGTCTCGCAGGTCGGATTTCTACGGCTCCAGGTGGTGCTGTGCCACGGGAGGGCATGTGTTGTTTGGGTGGGTTAAGATGGGTCCCCATGTCCCCCCCCCCCTTTTTTTATCTTTAATTTTATTTTTTATTTATATTTATTGCTGGCCTGGCTCCCTTGATGGGGATTGCTTGGGTTTGGTTGCCAGTTCATGGGTTGGGTTGCTTCCTGAATGGGGCGGGTTAGGGATTTCTTCTCTTCGTTCCCAAATGTTCCCATCCTGTGTTCTTCATTTTTTTCCCCTCTGCAATCGCCTAATGAGGTTGATCGGGCTCAGGGATTGTACCTCTTTTCGGGCAACACCCGTCCTAACATTGCAGGGCCCTCACGGTTATTCGGGACGCCCGCACCGGCCCGAATTTTGGTTGGGGAACGTTTTTTGACTTGAAATGCTTACTTAACCTTGTCTTCTGTTATACATCTCATCCCTGTATAGTTTTGGGGCGGCGGAGGGTGGCGGGATGTGTGTTTATTATGTAGGGCGGGTGGTTGATAGGGTTGACCCTGCTTTTACAATTAGCTTATGTACCACACTGCATTTACTTTTGATCTTACGCACAGGGGATGGGATTCGGCGGAAGCTTGTGGGTTCAGCTATGGGGGGGAGGTCTTGGGGTCACGGGGCTATGTTTATGCTACGGCGTTCTTTTATGTATATTTTCCATACTCTTGGGCCCTTTCTGCCTCCCAGGCACATTTTATGTTATTTATGGTGGGTTAAGGGAACAGTGGGGCGTGCGTTCTTGGGGGGAGCGGGTGAGTTTGATTTTGATTTTGGGTTCATTGTTTAAATGCGCAGATTATGCCATATTGTTTTGCCCCGCCTCTCTTTTTGGGGGGGTCTTCCTCGCGGGGGGGGGAAGTTGTTTGGATCTCTGCCTAGGGGGAGGGGATTTTCTGGTTGTGTATATGTAGGTAATGCAGCTATCTGACATCTTATTGTATTTCATTGTGTCTCATAATTAGTCTGTGTTGGCACCCTATGGGTGCTTTTCTCTGTTGGTGTATGCTCCCGCTTCTCTGGAGAATCCTTCAGATTCCGGAGGGGCTGGAACATGTGCCCCAATCAAACCTGGCTATAGGTAAGACCAGGCACCAGATACACAGGTTCTGTGTGTCCTTCTTTGTTTCAAACTTATTCTTTTTTCCTATTTCTTGTTTGTTGTCCAGTTCTAAATCTTTACTATTTCCCTTGGGAGGGGGAACAGGAGAGGGCAGTTATGCCGCTGAACTCTGTCTGGATGGTCCGGAGCCGGGCTCCCATGGTACTGAGATGAGATATTTGGTGCAATCTCCTTACTGGCCCAGTAGTGGGCTGTTAGGAGGCATTGGCTTGCCCTCCTTTCGGAAACTATGCCTTTAAAAATATTATCATTGAATGTTAAGGGCCTGAATGCTCCGAGCAAACGCCGCCTCATGTTCAGGGATCTCAAACGCATGAGCCCAGATATTGCCTTCTTGCAGGAGACGCACCTATCCGCATCGGCTAAATTCGCCCTGAAGGATCACACTTTCAGGACAGTCCATGAAGCTAGGGCTTTAAATAAACGGAATGGAGTTGCTATCGTTATACACCATAGATGCCCGCTGAGGGTGGAAAACGTGGTGGCCGACCCGGGTGGCCGTTTCGTGCTGGTTTCGGGGAGACTGCACTCTCATGCAGTGCATTTCCTCAATGTCTATGCCCCAAACGACCCCTCTGTTGCTTTTTGGGATGGAATAACGCAGATGGTGAACACTCTGCCACACGGAATGACGGTGGTGGGGGGGGACCTGAACGCCACCCCGTGTCCTGCGGTTGACAGGGGTCCTGGCGATGGGTTGCCGAGGTCCCACGGGAGAGGTAGTCAAGATAAAATACTACGCACTTTTATGCATCGTACAGGCCTGGTCGATATCTGGAGAGCTCATCATCCAGACGACCGTGATTACACTTTTTATTCAGCACCTCACGATACGTATTCGAGGATAGACTTATTTCTGGTGAACCCCCTCACGGTCCCAAAGGTGTCGAAAACTTCAGTAGGTTCGATCACTTGGTCGGACCATGCTGACATCACGATGACTCTGGATAAATTAAGTATGGCATCTCCGTGGACCTGGAGACTGAACACCTCTTTGCTTCAGGATCCAGCCGTGGTGGAGATCATACGCAAGGAACTGACTGAGTACTTCACACGGAATGCGGACTCTGGTCCCCGGCCTGCCACGGTGTGGGCCGCATACAAGACGGTTATCCGGGGTATATTGATTCGCGAAGCTACGCTTAAGAAGAAACGTAAGACACAATTACTAACATCTCTCCTCGAAGCCCTGGGGAAAGCGGAAGAAAAACACAAGGCGGCCTCGTCGCCTACCACATTGCAGGAAGTAAGGAAATTGCGGGCTTCGGTCCGCGAAACGCTCCTCGACGAGACTGCAAGAGCTTTAGTCTGGTCCAAAAGGACTTACTACGAAAAATCCAACAAAATGGATACCTTGTTGGCCAGATCTCTTCGCCCGAGACAGAGTCACTCCCATATTACAAGAATCAAAGACGCTACGGGTAAGTATTGCACAGACCCTTCCGCTATTGCTAAGGTTTTTACAGAGTACTATACCAAATTATATAATCATTCCAGCGGGGCTACAAGCACCCAGAGGAGTGACACGGACAATTCGCAGGCATTTTTATCTCAATTGAAGCTACCTAGGTTGCGGGGAGAAGACTCAGCTGCCCTTGGAGAAAGGATTACGGTCGAAGAGATCGATGCTGCAATATCTGCTTTAAAGGGTAACAAAGCTCCGGGCCCGGATGGCTTCGACGGCAGCTATTATAAGATATTTCGAGAGGAACTTATACCCCACATGGAAAAGTGGTTTAATGACCTAATGGAGGGAGGAACGCCAGATAGGGATATGTCAATAGCGGATATCGTGCTGTTACCGAAACCTGGCAAGGATGATTCTGTCCCCGAAAACTTTCGCCCGATTTCTTTGATAAATCATGACTCCAAAATTCTTGCCAAAATATTGGCACACAGACTGAACCCCTTGTTAACACGATTGATACACCCTGACCAAGTTGGCTTTGTGCCTGGCAGGCAGCTATTTGAAAATACTAGACGCAACATTGATCTTATCTGGCGGCAGGCAACTAGGGGGATCCCGACGTTGATATTGTCACTCGATGCGGAGAAAGCTTTCGATAGGGTAAAGTGGCCTTATCTTTTCGAGACTCTCCGACAGTTTGGTATCCCTGAACCCTTTATAACTACGATACAAGCAATGTACACTGACGTTCGGGCTCGAGTCCGGATTTCGGGCGCGAAGATGGAACCTTTTAATTTGGGGAATGGGACTAGGCAGGGCTGCCCGCTGTCGCCTCTACTGTTCGCTCTCTCTTTGGAACCCCTCCTACAAACAATTAGAAATAGCTCCGACATCAAGGGGATCGTGATTCGGGAGCAGCGATATGTGGTGTCTGGCTTTGCTGACGATGTCTTGCTAACCCTGACGGATCCGATAAATTCGATGGAGGCATTGGCGACAGTGTTGGAGGCCTACAGCGAACTGGCCGGATATAGGGTGAACTTAACTAAGTCAAGCGCACTTCCCATAAGCATGAGCGACACGGATATCGCCCACATCGGAGACACCTATAGGATACGTATAGCAAACGACCATATAAAGTATTTGGGGGTTCGGCTGACAGCGGACCCTTCCCAATTATTTCAGCAAAACTATGTCCCTATGATCCGCACCTTGATAGGAGACATGGAGAAATGGATAGATAAGCCGATCTCCTGGATTGGTAGGATTCACTCTGTGAAAATGAATATTCTCCCTAGGATTCTGTTTCTATTTCAAGCTCTCCCGGTCCGGCTGTCCAAGTCAGATCTAGGGACGCTCCAGCAGGCCATTGGGAAATTCATATGGCAGAATAGGAAACATAGAGTTTCGCGTAATGTTCTTTACAGGTCAAAAGCGAGGGGGGGCTTAGGTCTACCGAACCTTTATTTTTATTATTTAGCGTCTCAATTAACTCAAATAGCGCTATGGCATGCTCCCCCGGAAGAGAGGCGGTGGGTCGACCTGGAGGCCACCCTTCTGGGTTCCGACGTTCCTCAATTCTTTATGTGGGTCCCTAGGGACCACAGACCATTGATACGCGTCGATTGCCCAGCTATCGCTAACTCTTTGAAAATCTGGGACGCAACATCAACCAAATATGGTTTATCCCCCCATCTGTCCCCATTGGCCCCTTATCTGAGGAATCGAGCATTCCCTCCGGGATTGGAAGCCAGAAACTTTAAGGGCATAGAGAGCACAGGGGTACAACGACTATGTCATCTTTATGAGGGGGGTGCTTTTATATCCTTCGATGATTTGAAGTCCAGAGCTACTCTACGTCCCTCCGATTTTTTCCGATACCTCCAGTTAAGGGACTTCGCCCATAACCCACAGATTAAAACTAGCGCCTTGACTCCACTCACGTTTTTTGAAAGAATGTGCATCCAAGAACAATTTCCGAAAGGTCTCATCACTAACTTATACGCGCACCTCAGTACGACCACATCTGAATGGGGGGAGCTTCATTATACGTCTCAATGGGAAATGGATCTGAATGAGGAACTGGAGGGTGTTGAGTGGCAAGAGATCTGGGAGGCAGCGGCGACCTCGTCTATTTGTGTCACATTTCAAGAACAAGCCTATAAGACTATGTTCCGGTGGTACGCTACCCCGGCGAAGCTTTATCGGATGAATAAAATTAATACAGATTTATGCTGGAGAGGATGTGGCCAGAAAGGGACGTATATACATATGTGGTGGGTCTGTCCAGAGGCACAAAAATTCTGGAAACGGGTCGCGGATTTACTGGGAAATATCTTTGATAGGGTGATCAAACCAGACCCCTGGGTTTTCCTCCTGGCCAGATCGCTGGAGAACTGGTCCAGATCGGAACAAAATTTACTACACAAGGTGACCCTGGCTGCTAGAAGGGCCATGGCCCAAGTGTGGCTACAGGGAGAGACCCCCCCAATGGAGGTGGTGATACAAAAGATCAAAGATACATACATAATGGACGAGTTAACAGCTAGGGTCCGGGGCACTAAGAAGAAAATGGAAAAGATTTGGAGCCCGTGGGTGGCTAGTGGGGTGGGTGATTAGGGGAATGGGGGACGGGCTCGTTCCATGCGTACCCCGAAACACCTCTATCGATGACAGAATGTATAGCACACTTTTACTCCCCCTTCCGAAGCGGGACCCTCAGGATCCCACGAGATGTTCATGGTTTATAGTTATTCGCACTGGCATGGCGGTACTTGCTAAAAACATCCCGGCTCGTGGCTATCCAGCTATCTGATCGTATCGGCATCAGTACCATTCTGGGAAAATAATTATAATACCCCCTCCCAATCCTACTCCCAATCCTACTCTCTCTTCTTCCTTCTCTTCTACTCTTTTGGTACTCTTCTTTCGGTTAACCTTTTCTTTTCTTTATTTATCTTTATATTGTTTCTTCCCATCTATCTGGTTACTACCCAGTTACCATATGGCTCACTGAAGCTATATTTGGAGGGTAGGCTATTATTAAAATATCTTCGCATAAAAGTCATCCCTGTACACCGAGTTTTAGTTCATTGATTTAGCCAAATTCTTACTGCATTATAGGGGTAGCTATAGATGGATAGCGTGAAATATCATCGTGTATTTCACTATCAGATGGGAATTTATTGTCTTACTTAAAATAAAATGGGTGGGATACCGCAGTAAGCAAGCTTGTAAGGACGACATTCATATGTTAGATATGCTGTTTGTGCTTTGTACTTTTGCAATATTGTTTGTTTTTTTACAAGTAATGTGTACTGTTTTGGTGATTGCGATGTTGTTCTTTATTGCATCATGTTGCATATAATGTTGTGGTGTCTGATCTTTTCATAAATAAAGAATTAAAAAAAAAAAAAAGAAATTGAGTCACCTTAACTTCCTCACTCCGTGATGTCCGAGCTGCTCTTTCAGCTTGTGAAAGACGCAGGACCTCCAACTCATGCTCCTTCTCTCGCTCTGGGTTCTCGGCCACAGTTAGCTGGTCTCGGCAACGGTCTAGATCCCGCAGAAGCCTGTCTTTTTCTGCCATCCAAGATTTCTCATTAGCTCGGCCCTCAAATTTCAGCTGCAAAAAATCCCTTGTGCTTTCATAGAGCAGCTTTTGAGTTTTATTCAATCTGGTTGAGACAGAGTTCCAAGATCAGTTAGTAATAACAAGGTGAACAACGAAAAAGGAGTATAGAGTGTTACTGGCTGAGCAAAGTAACTTGATAAACCATGCATAGCAGTGTGTAACTGTCAGTGTATGTCACTAAAGTGAGAATTCAAATTTAAGGCCAATGTAACTAAACTGGAAGCATAGCAGATTTGGAGGAAATACCCTGTTCAGCTACTTTTACCTTACTTTTAATATTTCGTTTTTATTCTCAGTTTAGTCAATAACCCAGTGTGTGTTGTCTTTTCTAGTTAATTTATTTAAAGGGTTACTCCAACCATAAAACAATAGAGCAGGCATGCTGTGCAAACCAAAATTTAGACATCCAATATAGACAGAATTCACATTAGCCACCTAGTATGCTTGTTCAAGGCTAGCTAATACAACTCAAATTATGCTGCAGTTACAGCTCTAGCAGCAGATGGATAAAATTCAGCATGTGCAGCTTTTCATAGTAAAACAAAAACTCCAGGCACCATGGCCACTTCAAATTACTGAAGTGTTCATGGAGCTTGGAGTAACCCTTGAAAAAGAAATAGAAAAAAATGCACAAAACAATGCACAGAGAATTGGAGATGCAAGTAATCTCAATTTTCAAAAACAACAAACATAGGAGAAAAAAAAAAAAAAAAAGAACTTGAGAAGGAAAGAGGTATAACCACCACAAAGAGTCTATAGCAGCCATTAAAGACTAAAATGATGCTATTAGAGACATAATTTTATCAAGGATCTTTAACTGTGTAAAAAGAAGGGAGAAGATTATAAACAGTGGCCATTAACTAAATGATTATCTTCAATTTTAGCTAGAACCGCTCAGAGAGAAGGGGCATAGATTGTGTCTTCCCTTTTACTCATTATAAAGCACACCTTTTAATGCTGCTTAATTTTTATCTAGCAGGAAATCCAAAGCAAAGTTGATGACAGAATTCTTTGTCCTTGATGTCCTGACTTTCTACTCTAGAATAATGATGCAATGTTCAACTCACTTCTCAGTCAGTTCTTTGACCTTGTCTTGATCCCTCTGATGCTGCACCTGTGCCTCTTCCATTCGAATCCTCCGGTCATCCAACAAGGACTCCACTTGCTCTTTAGACAGCCGTGTCTGCTCTTCTAGCTGTGCCTGCAATGCCTCTATCTGGAGAATATTAGAGATTTGTATAGGGCGTTGTACAGAGGAATAAAGTTTACCTTAACCGGGTCCAGAATGGGAAAAACAAGGATACTATGGACCTATCAGACAGATTTTGCATGCATATAAAAAGTCTCATGGCATTTACAAAATCAAAGGCATGTATACCAAATACATCACATCATTAATTTTACATTTTAAAGGGACACTAAAGTCACCAGAACAACTGCAGCTGAATTAAGTTGTTATTGTTTCTATAGCCTTTCCTGCAGGCATTTTAAAGAAACACTGCATTTTTAGAGAAGAAAATAGGTGCTTCCTGGGTCAGTGCTCCACAGTGTGCAGCACTGACATTCAGTGTCTCCACCATCTACATGGAGACACTGAACTTTCCTCAGAGATGCAGTGAGTCAATGTATCTCTGTGAGGGGATGCGGTTTGTTTTCTTGACACTATAGTTTCCCTTTAACTTATTTTGCAGATAATTTTCTGAGTACTTTGCAGTCCTCAAGAACCTCCTGAACTGTTATTTAAACCTTTTGTTACCAAAAAGCCTCAGTAATATCCAGCAGCAGTAAATGCATGATTTATGTACAATGTCACCTATGTTATACAAGGTTTTGACTAAATGTTTCACGGATGTGAGCAGGCAGGCTCGTGGTTTTTGCAGTTTTAGGTAATGTGTATGGAGCTTTAAGAATGAAGTATAGAGCGTTATTTTAGAATACTAAAAGTATTTACCCTATAAGAAAAAAAAAAAAAAGTATTAAAAATCTGAGACAGATAGGTGCTTGAGTATATACCTGCAGCAAGAGTGTTTGATCATCCTTCTCTGCGACCCTCATGTTTTCTTTGCTTGTGGATTTCAATGTTATTCGCTTACCACCTGCAAGAAAAAAAAAAAAAAAGCACTTTGACAACGCAATGTTAAACATGTTTAACTAGTGCAGCCAGTTGTTAATTCATTGTTATGCAAGAGTTTTTAGTATACCTGAAGCCATATTTTAATTAATTATGGCATAGATTAATTTTGTGGGAAGCTACACTACAATTAATAAATCTTGAATTCCTCATACTTCAAACATGAATGGAAAATTGGATATTTTTATAACAGTCATGGTCATTACCCACTTACCTGCACGATTTTGGCGTTGTTCCCTCCTCTCATGTGGATCTCCAGACTGAATGGTACGCTGGGGGATAGTTACCTGCCATTGGAAATCAAGAAAAATACAATAAATAGTATATTTCTGCTGTTCTAATATTTCTTAGCAGTTATACCAACAAGGCAAAATCCATTTTGCTACAAGAAACTCAATTTTATGAAGATAAGCATGTCATGTATGCTGAAAAAAAATTAATTCTAAAATCGAACCTATTGTGATTGAATTCACACCACAACAACAATAAAACTATACAGTTAAAAAACAAAACAAAAAAAACCCACCACATTATACTAATCTTTTACATATGTTAAAAAAGCACAATATTTGTTTCATTGTTTTATAATGTTCTCGGGTTTCTTACCGTTGGATGGACCAGCTGATACCCTGCTTATATTCCACTTGATAGATATGCCCTCTAACATGCTTTTGTACGTTAATTTTTTATTAATAAAATATAGTCAAACTTATTTAGTTCTTTCTTCAGATACACCCCACAAGACAAGTCTGGCATTTGATCCCATCATGTGAGTTCTCTACCTCCCTCTCCCTGTTCTTTGCTCGGTTGTCTAAACTGTACTATACAATGTAGAGTCTGTGTTCTTCTAGAGCAAGGATAGGCAAACTTTGGCACTCCAGATGTTGTGGACTATTGCTCTTATTATTATTTTTTTATATAGCGCCAAATTCCGTAGCACTGTACAGTGAGTGGATTAACATACATGTAATTGTTCCTGTACATCCAGCTGTCTGGTAACAGAGGGGAGGAGGGCACTGCTCCATGGGCTTACATTCTTACAACCATAATGCTATGACATATCAATTAACTCCCTATGCAGATTCTTTAACCCTAATCAAGTGTTCCACAAATGCATTGAAAACTTGGTACTTAATGTTGGTCTCACCTTGTTTGGAGGTTCCTTATGGAAGTAGGTTATTTCTCCACTGCAGGTCCCCACCAGTGCCAAAAGCTGTTGTATCTTCTTTCTGTCATCCAGCTCTCTACGGCAAGAGAAGAGAACATTATAAAACCTCCCATTCTCCTGTCAATACAGCTTCCTCTACCCACACCATACCTCATGAATCTAGAAGTGCAAACTAAGGAACTTGAAGATGTATGGCATTAAGCAAAGCGAGTAGAATTTTAACAATTTCATTATATAAACAAAATATTTAAAGAGTATATGTCACTGTTGAGGGTCTTTGTGTATTCTGCATCCCTACTTGGGATGTGGAAGCCTAGGAGTGCAGCAGAAGACTGTTCTACTTAACTGAAGAATTCCCTGCCCTGCAGGTTCCATCATCTTTCTTCATGCATAATACAACATGGACATCTATGGATGATCCCACAAGAACCTCAATAGATCTATTCTTAGAATGAATGAGACAATATCAGGTTCCCACAGCATTTACTAGCCTCAGCTAAGAGAATCAACAAAATTGGACAGTGGAAGCTCTCCCTTTTCTCAGCTTAGGCATTTATAACCAGACAAAGTAGTCCCTACTTTGTGTTATATATTTTGACTGCCTTTAATGAAAGTTCCGTGCAGTCGAGTATTTCAATTAGATTTATCTTTATGAAATATATTTTTGTTGACAGAGGTGTTTTACAGAGACACCCAAGCACTATAACCACTTCAGCTGATTATATTTGTAATGGTGCTAGGAAGCTCTCCTTAGCAATTTACTTTTTACTTCCCAAACATCTTAGATACAACACTACACACAGAAGCTTGGATACCACAAATTAAACTAAAGTGTCTGTGTGAATTAAAAGGTACATTTTAATAGAGAGCCTCGTAGCACAGTAATAAGCGGTAATAATTATGTTCTTGGATGGTTCCTTTAAAAAAAATCCACTGGTCTTTTGAGTACTGCAGCAAGACTAATTACCTGATTTTGAGTCGGTCATTTTCAGAGTACAAGCGCAGCACATGCTCACGTTCTTGGTAGAGGAAAACTTGCATGTCGCTTAGAGCTTTTTGCAGCTCTGCAATCTCTTCCTCTCGCTGCCTCATTTCCCACTGCAGTTTATGCTGTAAGAGCAAGAATGGTTGCAAAACATGAAGTCTAGACTTCAGAATAACCAAGAATAATCAACCTCTGGGGTGGATAACCATCCTGTGTGCCTTCCCATATATGCATATTCACCTGTACAATACAAATACCTGCCATGTAGGCTGGGTTAATCTACTAAACAATGCACAACAAGCAAGCACAGAGGAACTGTATATTCAATCTATCATAAAGGTAAAAGGTAGCAATATCTATAATATATGAAAAATGTATTTAAACTCAAGATATGTTCGGTAAACTTCAACACAGTTAAAACTATATTGTGGCCACCTTAAACTGGACAAATATACCTCAATGTAATTTGCTATATAAAAAGTTTCATACTGTATAAAAAAAATACAATAATATGAAGTAAACTAGTAACAGTTACAAGCCTACTCAAATGAACAGAAAAACAGGATATGGAGATATATATATATATATATATTCAAAGAGTTGTGATAAGAAGTTATTACATTTCCCAGATAAAAGACTACATAGTAAGAACCGGGGCATACTACTGGAGATATTGGAGCTGACAAATTTTTATGTTTTTGGATATTCAAGAGAAAGGTAAGAAAAGTGGTAAAGAGACCAAGAAAAATTTGGCTTAGTGGAAAAGATGAGACAAGAAGGAAGACCGGTTTTTACATACGGTTTAACTCAGAATATTAGAGGATTATTGGTATATTGTAAAAAAAAAAAAAAAAGTGTTTGTTTATATTATTTGAAGATCCCTTATTACATTTTTGTTGCATGAGAACCCTAGAGTTACATTCACAAAGTCCCTTAAAAGGACCACTCTAGGCACCCAGACCACTTCAGCTTAATGAAGTGGTCTGGGTGCCAGGTCCCTCAAGGATTAACCCCCCCCCCTTTTTTTTTTTTTTAATAAACATAGCAGTTTCAGAGAAACTGCTATTTTTATAATAGGGTTAATCAAGCCTCTAAAGTCTCTAGTGGCCGTCTCATTGACAGCCGCTAGAGGCGTTTGCATGCTTCTCACTGTGAAAATCACAGTGAGAAGACGCCAGCGTCCATAGGAAAGCATTATGAATGCTTTCCTATGAGACAGGCTGAATGCGCGGGAGCTCCTGCCGCGCATGCGCATTCAGCCGAAGAGGAGGAGAGGAGGCGGAGATCTCCCCGCCCGGCGCTGGAAAAAAGGTAAGATTTAACCCCTTCCTCGCCATCCAGCCCGGGGGGAGTGGGACCCTAATGGTCCTTTAATCTAAATAATTATTTAGCTCCCTCTAAGTTACACATTCATCAGAATATTTCACATAATAAGAAACAAGTTAAAGTAGAGAGGGGAAATTTGAAATGTGGACATACTAGATGTGTTACTTGACATCACATTAAACATGGGTCAGTTACATTTAGTTCACACACTAATGGTAGGGATTTTGCTGGGCTCCAGGGCAAATAGTAGACAAAAATTATTGAAGTTAGAAACCAAGTGGAATTTTAAATTTGAAACGGTAACTACAAAAGGGCTAAAGGAGATGAATTTAAAATAATAATAAAAAAAAAAAATATATAATATATATATATATATATATATATATATATAAAATTTTAATTTATTCTAAATTATGTTAAAAGGGATTGTATAAATTATGTAGTTTTTCGTTAAAATGGTTGCAGTATTTGTTTTTATAAAAATGTAAAAATAGAAAATTTACTTTGGTTCAACAATGGATTTTTATTTGTATTATCTCAAGATATGTTGGGTAGAGCAGTTTCAATGTATGTTTACATTGGATCTGTTTCTAAATATTTACATTAAAGGGACACCGTAGGCACGGCATCTGCTTCATCTCATTAAACTGGTTATAGTGTCTGGAGTACCCTGGTGCCGTCATTTCTTTCAGCATTAAACAGTTTTTAATCTTGTAATGTTTTAATGTTAAACAAGAGACCACTGCATTCCATCCCCTCTGTGCTGCTTTGGCTAATAAGGAAGTATTACCCTGAGCAGCAATAAGCAGCTGTGATTGGCTGGGAGTGTCAGCTGACTGCTTTTAACCTGTCAGAGCTCCTGCTGACGGTATGAATGGGTATGACAACAAGGAAGTGTGTAATCTCTGCCTTAGCTACACATACAGAAGGGGCCGGACTGTGGGTGGCCAGGGACTCTTATTTTGTGGCATACTGCACAAACATGGTGCAACACTGAAAGGAGGCACAGTGCCAGGGCACTCCAGGCACTATAACCAATTCAAAAAGACAAAGTGGTTATAGTGACTACAGTGTCCCTTTAAGTATCATATGTTTGTCATGTTTTAAAGGAACTTATTCATTTGTATCATAGTAATGACTGATAAGAATTAGTCATAATAAAATTTATAATAACTTATTAAATGTGGGCTATTTATCAGCGGCTGAATCGCACGGAAATTATACAACATTAACAGTCCTGTGAGGAGAACGAAACGCGTTGACCAAGATTTTACTTTAATTTAAAAGTGAATGGTTTGCCTTACAGGGATTACTTATAATTTGAAGAGAAACGCTGTTTAAATAGAGGTTGTATTCTGATCTTGCAGGCGGTCACTGGCTGATTATCATATCAGGGAGTACCACTGTATATCAGATACTATTGCTGCAGGAAACAGCACTGGAGGCATTTGTGCTTCCTCAATGGCTTACAGCAAGATTGCATGTCCCATAGAGCAGTGTTCCCCAATCAAGTCCTCATGGACCAACAACAGCCCCAAACAAAGGCCATAAAACCTAATATAACTCACCCTAACATCGGACATCTGGGCACGCTGCAAGAGAGAAGCACCCCAGCATTAAAAAGACACCAACAAAGGGCCGACAGCACTCCGGGAACACTAACACGAATAAATCCGGCCTACCTGTTAGCATAAGCCTGACTTCAGACGGCGCTAGAGCATAACTCAGAGACTGGTGACCCGCTCGGATGAACAACGCATCATGGAGTCACCTATCCCCGTGTGGGACCACGCCGGCTCAGGGACCTCAAGCATTCTATAGGCCTATATTGCTTACGTACTAGACACAGCCTTAAGATACGCATCCTGATATAGAAAATAAATTTCAGCCCTCACAATCTTATACCCTACGTTTTTAGATGTTATGTTTGCTTTACGGGCGATATATAGGTTATTAGACAAGTGTGCATTCTCAACAGCATTAAATATTAGACCTCATGTCCGTTTGTTTAAAAGTATCCAGAAAAATGCTGGAGCGCTCAAGAGTGTAATGGCCTAAAATGCATAAGAGTTGTCAATCGCTCCCTTTCTTATAATATCTTATTACGACATGCTTTTGATTGCGATGTTTAGTTTCGTAAAGCTTAGGCATACCTAATATCTGTGAATACTTGCTTACATTAATCCATACGCCTCTGCGCAGGCAACCACGTTATACAGATAAAACCGCAATATGAATGTCTCATGCTACTTATAACCTCAATACCCACGCCTCTGTGTAGGCGACTAACTGCATTAATTGTTAACACTTGAAACCCACGTTTATATTGTGATTCAATAAAAAATATTTAAAACAACAGTCCAGGTTTTGTAAGTATCTCCATTGGAATAAAACAGGGAAATACATAAATCCTGGACTTTTGGTGGTCCCTGAGGACTGTGTTGGGGAACACTGCCATAGAGGGCTAAGTTGAAGGAAACCAGTATAGGAGCTGTAAATAATTTTACCCTCTGAGTATATACCACAATAATCCTCTATATATAGCTTGGATAATGTATTTGATACTTTGCCATCATGGCTATGTTGGCGACTTGTTTAACATCCTGCTTTTCCATTCATCTTAGTAGGTTTGTAACCATTGCCAGTATCTTACATCACATTATTGTAATTAAATGATACAATATACAATTTTTATCTAGCTATTTACATTGGGATTAAAGCGGCACTGTCATGCCGAATCCCGTTTTTGTTTTTTTAACCCCCCCTCCCGCCTCCACTACATCCAATTGACCCACTAGTCACCCTCAAGTGCCCCTAAGCCCCCCATATTACCTATTTTTTAATCCTTATTTTCTGCCCCGATCTTGATTCAGGGCGCCGCCATCTTTGTGTGGGTAGATGAAGTCCCTGTGGGACACGTCATCAGCCCACACTAGACAGACTGTGAGATTCCCGCACATGCCCAGTGAAACACCTGGACATGCGAACGGGAATTTCATCTATTCACTCATTCATCAGACAGACGAATGAGTGAATAGAAATATCAGCCGAACAAACTAACACAATGTATCAGTGTTAGTTTGTTCGTTCAGTTTATTACAAGGAGGGAGCTACCGGCACGCAGCTCCCTCCTTGTAATATGTAACTATAGAAGCGTCAGGGAGCAGTGCTCCCCGCCACTTCATAAGCCCCCTCCAGGCCCCCCTCACTCTATGGGGGTCAATATGACCCCCATAATAGCACAAGGGAGGTTAAAATCTCCCAAATGCCCCTACTCGCTATACCGCGAGTAGGGGCATGTCTACTAAACAGTGAGCAGCCTGTTCCTGCTCACTGTTGAAAAAAAATTACAATAAGGGGGGGGCGGACCTATTGTCCTCCCCCCCTCCCCCACCCAGAGCGGTGGGTGGGGGCCATGAAGATAATGAGGGGGGGGACCTACTGTCCTCCCCCCCTGGCCCCCACCCCTGCGCGGTGGGTGGGGGCCCTAATAAAACAATAAGGGGGGACCCTGACCCCTGAGCGGTGGGTGGGGGCCCTAATAAAACAATAAGGGGGGGGACCTACTGTCCTCCCTCTCTGGCCCCCACCCCTGAGCAGTGGGTGGGGGCCCTAATAAAACAATAAGGGGGGCGACCTACTGTCCTCCCCCCACGAACCCCACCCCTGAGCAGTGGGTGGGGGCCCAAATAAAGATATGGGGGGAACTTCTGTCCCCCCCCGGCCCCCACCCCTGCGCGGTGGGTGGGGGCCCTAATAAAACAATAAGGGGGGGACCTACTGTCCTCCGCCCCTGGCCCCCACCCCTGAGCGGTGGGTGGGGGCCCTAAATGAAACACACCCCCCCCAATCAAGGTGACTAGGGGTCCCAAGCCCCTAGTCACCCCCCCCACCCAAAAAAAACCTATCCCCTACCTACCCCCCTCACCCTAAAAATAGTGAGGGGGGAATAAAATAACTAACCTGTTAAAAAAAATTAAACTTACCATTTGACGTCTTCTTTTTTCTAAAATCTTCTTTCTTCAGCCCCCAAAAAGGCCAAATAAAAATCAATTATACCCGTCGCACTTTAAAAAAAAAAAATTAGCCCTGCAATTAGGCTTAGAACACTCTGATTGGTGGATTTAAGCCAATCAGAGTGCTCTGAGTCATTTTACACAGCGTGGGAAAGTTCTTTTGAATTTTCCCACGCTGTGTAAAATGACTCAGAGCACTCTGATTGGCTTAAACCCACCAATCAGAGTGTTCGAAGCCTAATTGCAGGGCGGGGCAAGGCTTTATAAGCCTTGACCCGCCCTGCGGAGCTCAGTCTGCGGCGTGCCCTCGAAGGGCGAACATGGATTAATTTTTTTTTGCGCTCTTTTTTTTTTTTTAAAGTGCGACGGGTATAATGGATTTTTATTTGGCCTTTTTGGGGGCTGAAGAAAGAAGATTTTAGAAAAAAGAAGACGTCAAATGGTAAGTTAATTTTTTTTTTTTACAGGTTAGTTATTTTATTCCCCCCTCACTATTTTTAGGGTGAGGGGGGTAGGTAGGGGATAGGTTTTTTTTGGGTGGGGGGTGACTAGGGGCTTGGGACCCCTAGTCACCTTGATTGGGGGGGGTGTTTCATTTAGGGCCCCCACCCACCGCTCAGGGGTGGGGGCCAGGGGGGGGGGAGGACAGTAGGTCCCCCCCCTTATTGTTTTATTAGGGCCCCCACCCACCGCGCAGGGGTGGGGGCCGGGGGGGAGGACAGTAGGTCCCCCCCTTATTGTTTTATTAGGGCCCCCACCCACCGCGCAGGGGTGGGGGCCGGGGGGGAGGACAGTAGGTCCCCCCCCTTATTGTTTCATTAGGGCCCCCACCCACCGCTCAGGGGTGGGGGCCAGGGGGGGAGGACAGTAGGTCCCCCCCCCTTATTGTTTTATTAGGGCCCCCACCCACCGCGCAGGGGTGGGGGTCGGGGGGGAGGACAGTAGGTCCCCCCTTATTGTTTTATTAGGGCCCCCACCCACCGCGCAGGGGTGGGGGCCGGGGGGGGACAGAAGTTCCCCCCCATATCTTTATTTAGGGCCCCCACCCACCGCTCAGGGGTGGGGGCCAGTAGGTCCCCCCCATCTTTATTTAGGGCCCCCACGGGCATGGCGTGGGGGGGGGGGGTATTAGTTTTTTGTTTTGTTTTTTACAGTGAGCAGCTATAAGCGGTATAGCTAGTAGGGGCATATTATTTACTAATACTAAGTAATCTTTACTTAGTATTAGTAAAGTTGGCTGAAAGACCAATTTAGGTCTTTCAGCCTTTTAGTAGATAACTCCCTGATACCGTGGGAATTAGGGAGTTATCTACTAAGCGGCTGCAAGATGCAGCCACAGCAATGAATAGGATCAGAGTTTCATTCATTGGAATGAAATTCCGATCCGAATAAAGTGCCGAATTGCGTTCTAAAAGAAACGAACATACTGTTCTCATTCAGTTAGAATGCAATTCGGCAGTTTCATGTAAAATGACAGGAAGCATCGCGGGAACACAGAGGGAAGGTAAGGATCATGGGAAAATTGCTCTGACCAGCGGAAATGAAGCACACTTTGCTCCTCCGCTGGTCAGAGCTGGTCAAGCGGAGGAATCCTCCATAAGGCAAAGAGTCCCTACTTTGTCTTATGATTTTAAAGAAAACTAAAGAAGATAGGAAGAAAAGAATAACAGATCCTGAGAGAGGGGGAGAAGAGGAAGAGATTGAGGAAAGGTAAGTTCGGCATGACAGTGCCGCTTTAAATCTGTCCAGATTAAGGTGACCACAACATAATTTATGGGTTTTTTTGTTTTGTTTTTTAAATATTTATGTTGAAGTTTACCTAACCTAACTTAAGTATAAATACATTTTTCATCCATCTTCGTAGGCTTATAACCGTTACTAGTTTGTTACTTCACATTATTGTAAATTTATGACACAGAATACAAAGTTATTGCTGTTCTTACACAGCTAATTACATTTAGATTATATTTGTCTAATTCAAGGTGGCCATCTAATAGTTTATAATGTGTTTTTATCTATGTTGAAATTTACCTAAGATATCTTTATTTTAAATGACATTTATATATTTTATTTGATTTCCCCCCCCTTTTACTACCTGTCACCTACATATTCACCTGTTCCTCATAAGTAGATTTATATTGCTCAAGTCGCTTCATTAAATCTTCATGTTCTTCATCAAACTCTGCAATTTTCCTCCGGTAATATTCCAACAGCTCTCGAGATGGACGCAGGTATGCCAACCGTTCATTAACTGGAGGCAACGGGGTAGAATCCACCTGATTGACTGGGTTGCTGGAGGATAAGGATGAGTCCTGTGATGGTGATGTACCATACCTGACATGAGAAAACATATCACAAGTTTTAGGTTGTGCAGGAGGAAATCAGGATTATTTACTAAAGAGAAAATTGTTGTGAATTCAAACTTAAAGGAACACTCTAGTCACCAGACCAACTACAGCTTATTGCATTTGTTCTGGTGAGTAGAATCATTCCCTTTAGGCGTTTTGCAGTCAACACTGTCTTTTCAGAGAAAATGCAGTGTTTACATTACAGCCTAGTGATAACTTCACTGGCCACTCCTTAGATGGCTGCTAGATATTTTTCCTGGGGCAGTCCTGCCTAGTGTGCATCACAACATTCAGTATCTCCACCATCTGCATGCAGACATTGAACTTTCCTCATAGAGATGCATTGATTCAATTCATCTCTATGAGGATATGCTGATTCGCCAGGGCTGTGTTTGACTTGTGCTGGCTTTGCCCCTGATCTGTCTCCTTGACCGTCTAAACCAATCCTATGGTGAAGCATTGCGATTGGCTCAGACCACAACTTCTGGTGATGTCAGCAGACAAGGGCAGAGCCGGCAGCTGCAGACTGGAATACAAGTATGATTTTACTATATTTTAGGGAGGTAAGGGGGGCAAGATGGTGGTTTTAACACTATAGGGTCAGGAATACCTCTGTGTTCCTGACCCTATAGTGTTCCTTTAAGGCAAAAAAAATATTTTTTTTGTAAAAATCCTACAAGTCCGCTATGTTTCCACTTCAGCTATTTTGGTCCATAATTTTAAAATCACTTTAAAGTCATGACAATTATCACTTTAGTAAATAACCCAGACAATATTGTAGGGTATCAAATTATGAACAACAAAACTTAATTTGGAAATCTCAAACACTTTTTAAAAGTACATTCTAAGATGACCACTTCATCTAGATTAAGACCATTTCCCTTTTGCCTGACAATGTTTACATTTTGCTTTAACCATGCCTCTAGTCCTGGTCAGACTGACCGTCATTAGCAGCACTTGCTCAATGAACACCTTTCATTTTCATAGGTCTTCATATTTGGCATCATCAGGCTAAAAACTGGTGGAGCATGGCAACTTCTGTGTATGTACTTTACGTACCAATTGCATTTCTATGCTAAGCTTTTCCAGTTTTAAAGAGGAGAGGCTTGAATCTAAACACAAATGTGTTTATTTTTAACCTTATCTAGTGTTCCTTTAATCATCAGAAAGCACTAGGAGTCATAAAAATATACAAACTAGTTTTCAATCATCTTACAAGTGTTAAAGGGATACTCTAGTTTAAGCAATATAACCATTGCAGCTTGGTATAGTATTCATGTTACCCATTCTCCCTCTGAGTCATCCATCAGGACGGTCGACAAAATTATGCATGCACTATACACACCACTTGGGCTGAGAATCCTCTCCTCCCAGAAAGTTTTCTTTAAAAAAACTACATATCCCATGAACCTTTGTTAAAAAGCAGTAGGATATGACCAGAATGATCACTTCTGAGTGCAGGTCTCTTTCTAGTGAGGGATAGGTAAAACTGTAGCAGCAGCAGACTCACTAAACAGTGTTAAAGAAGAGAAGATTCAAATGTAGCTATATTTATTTATACCAATTATTTTGAATGCATAATCCTAGAAATAGGGGATAGTTCTCTCTTTATATAGATTCCTTTTAACATCAGCTGTTTTAAATAGTTTTCAGACAGTAAAACCCTATCTTTACTATCCCTCTTAAGATTCTCACCTGCCATGTCGTGTGTTTCGAGGGGGTGTCAAAGCCATATCTTAAACCCGCTGGGAAAATCTCCAAATAACAATAACCTGAAAGGAATAAGAATTGTTTGTTTAGAATAGGTTATACACCTATGTACTGGACAAATCTCACAATTGCAAGTTACTCATCTGACACTTTGTAGATGTACAACACATGTGTTAAAGTAATAACTAAAGTTCATAATCACATCTAAAAAAAAAAAACCAAAAAAAAACAGCGAGATTGCTCATTACACAAAACCCAAAAGAAAATGTTTCAAAAAAAAAACACTGCTTAGCATTGGTGGAAGCACCAAATGCTACACTTTACTCAAACTATCCCTTTAGACTCAACACCAAAACGGAATGTTCCGGTCATTAGCTATAAAGGCTCTATAAAAATCTGCCATAATTAACGGTGCGGGCATTAAATGACAACACTGACCATAAAAGGTCCTTAAAGGGATAAGCTTTCAAAATAATCTTTTAACACACACAAAATATAATTTGCAGCAATTTACAAAAGAGCAAATAAATAAAAATTCATGTTAACAGGCACAAAAGGTGAAGAAATGATCCAGATAAAAAAAAAAAAAATATATATATATATATATATATATACTCATTTTTAAACCTATTCACCTTGCAATAGCAAGAACTATGTTACTGACATACAAATAAATCAGTAATAAATAATACATTATTAGAGTAAGGGGAATGGACATACAGAATGACCCACACAGCACACACTATATTAATGGCTTATTCACAAATATCATGGCTCTGTGCATGTGCTAATACTAGCCACACCATTATCCGCTATATACATAACACAGGTTTCCACTTCCTATATTATATTATTTATTTATTGCAGCTTATCCCCCTCCGCAGTCTTTGTAATGTATAACACGTACCGGGATGCACGCTCTCCGCTCCCTCCGCGGGACTACTGCCGCCAGGACACTGCTTCCCAACTGTAACACAAACTGAGCGCCTCCCTGCTCCCAGCCAATCACAACCTCCTCCGCCTCAGCCAATCACAGCAACGTGAAACGTCACGCGGTCCCGTGACCCTACTCCTTCAATAGCATTGGACAGTACTTGGTCAGCTGTGCCCGAGGCATGTAGGGAGATGTAGTTCTCAGTTCCAGGCAGATTTATTTACAAAGACTGTAGCAGCTCGGTTGCTTTTCTTTAAACTCTCCTTCCCGGTGCCGCGAAGTGAGTTGCTGAGGGAAAAAAAATATCTAGTTGCAGAATTTAGCACTTCCTGGATCCAAATCAGACGTTGAGCAGCGTACGGATGGGTGCGTGCCATCCATTACGCACGAGCTGCGTTATTTTACGGCAACGCGTCACTGGATTGATTTACGGCAGTAACAAAAAAATAAATAAATAAGAAGTGATATTGGTAAAAAAAACAAAACAATAAAACTATACAATGTATTTAGCAATCTTTCTTTTTTTTAAATTAGAAGGTAAAATGGGTGGAATGGTATAATGCTATTTTAAACGATGGAGATCATGTAGTGACCCCATTGAATTGTTTACTAAAGTGAGAATTTCTGGAAATTTGTGATTAAAAGTGAATTTAGAAATTTAGGACAAAATATCTGAATTTGAAAAAAATCTAGAAATAAATGATTTTTTTTTAAGTATGTATTTTAGGAAATGTTTAATTAAATGAAATGCAATTAAAGAAATACTAGAGAAACTGTCAGATTGTAGATGAACTGTGTTATTTAGGTTACAGTACGTTATGCTGCTATCTCAACCCACAAATGAGACTAGTACACTATATCTGAAAGCAAATATCAAAATTCACACGATAGTATACAGACAGACACCCAATTTGCAGAGTAAAAGCAAGTGGATTGAGGGGTTTTATAACTAAGAGGAAAAATAATAACACAAAACATAAATTGGCTTATATATATTTATGCATTAATAAGAACTCACAAGAAAGAAATAAAAGTAAGAAAATACAAAATATAATCTACATATTACTTACTGATCCTTAGACCCTCTACTCAAAGTTTGTTTAAAAAAAAGAAACAGATGGGGCGGGGCCTGACAACCAAGATGGCCGGCTGTGTATTCTGAGAGCTCCGGCACCGACGGGCTAATAAAAGCTATTCCTGACTAAAATACTAACGCCACTGGCCCACGGTGACCGGAAAGCAATAACAAAACGACCGGGGAACAGGATGATACCTGTCCCGGACCGATATGCCACAGAAATGCCTGCACCGGCCATGCGGCCTAATCCAGAGTGGAGCCTGAAGTCTGAGAGAGGCGGCCGATTTCCCGGCGGGGGACTAACTCACACACGAGAGCCCAACACAGCCCTGCTACGCCCCCTATGGACCAGCGGCGGTCATCCTGGTCCTCGCTGGGGATGATTACCCCCACAACACAGCCTGTAACTTACCAGACTCTGAGTGCCCCGGGGACGGATTACAAGGTGGCTCCTAATCAACCGGAGGAGAGCACAGAGGGACCTGTCGACTGCCGAACAGAACAGGATGACTACACAGTGAGGCTAGAGGCGATTTTTACAGCGTTTTGGCACAAGCTGGAATGGCGCATGCTACGCCATATTGAAAATATACATGGAGCTCATCCAACAAAGCAACCACGAGGTGGGCACAAAATGGCCGACGCAAAACCATATCGGCGCTCACAGGGCCAACGACACCGCACAACCCCGCACAGTACACCGGGGACACAGGCGACTGTTCGGAGCAATCACACCCCCACTGGGCCAGGAGGCCGGAGAGGCAGAAAACCGACCCACACGCCTGGAGGGGCACCGAGAAAGCGGAGCTCCGAAAAGCTCATGGTCCCATCACGAACGGTACAGAGACCCAGAGACGCATAGCAGCAACCCTGGTGACAACAAGGGCGAGAGGGTCTGAGCAAGCACAACATCGCTGCGCTGACCTTCTGGGACACCCACTGGGCCAAAGTCAATTGCAGAGTCCTAACCTGGACAACAGAAGCTGGGCGGAGGTCTCACCAGCATGGCCCGCAAGTGGAGTAGGCTAAAGGATGCAGAGAACAACTATTTGCCGGGCGAGCAGGGCACAGAGACATTCCGCGCCACTCCGACCCAACCAGCCGGCCAACACTCCCACTGAGATATATGACTTTGACAAACTGAGCTCAAAATGACTATATGCCGATAAGCAATTTGTGAATACACCTACCGTAACACTCACTCCATTCACGCACAAACTTTTGTTTAGCAGGGTGACTTGCTGTTTCTGTCCGCAATAGATCAGCCTGTCACAATAGTCTGTAAGCACCGTAAGCCTGATTTTAATGATAAGCACTCAGACAGTTTAACCAATGTATATGACTAGACGTCTCCCCTAGCTGAACCATACCACAGGGAATACAAATATGTCTTAGCTCAGCCTGTAGATAACTTAGCATGCTTCCCTCATGTTTACTTAATATTACCTATCTCCATAGTCATGCCTGCAAGACATGCCACAAAAGAAAGGTAGAAATATTACTCATAGTCAGACGACTGTGTGTGGCATGCCTGGTTCGTTTAACTAGTTCAACTCCTCTTTTATATACAATGTTCTACTAGTTCATATAATACTCTTGATTCTTTAAACCTATAAAACAATGTGCAGTCACCTCAAATGTCATGTATAACAATGCCTAACTCAGCTTGCTAATGCTGTCGTGACGCTGTAACCATTGTCTGTTATATTATGAACAGCTAAAAAAAAAAAAGAAAAAAGAAACAGGTGAAGAAAGGAGAAAATAATTTAACTTATAGTTCTATTGAGTCTTGAACATAGATAGAGGGAACAGACACTTTAACAAGTTTGGATTGAGAAAGACGGTAAATAAATGGTGTAACTTCTGGACCCAATTGAGAGCACTGTAGAAAATCACCAGGCTGGCTACTTGTTTTTGTGGCACATAAACAAAAGGGAGGTTCCAACAAGAGCATATTCTACAAAAAATAAGAGTTTTCTTTTGTTATGCAGCTTTTTAATCTCAGCCCCCAGCTATTTTGTTTTTAATTTATTCATCAATGGCAGCTAGTGAAATTTATAGATATTGCATTGGAAGATTTGATACCTTAATACTCTTCATATTTAAATGCTATTTTTTCCCACGACACAGATACACACTCTCAGACCTACAAATATTGGTAGGTATTACTATTGTACAGGGTACAGGGCAGGCTGTGAAGGGGTAGTGATAATGTAGCTGAGCGCTTGACCAATTGGAAAAGGGATGCTCCCAGTCTAAATGTGGTCCTGTAAGAACTGAGCCACCAACTTCTGTCCCACAAATCCAGGACTATTGTAAGGTATGTAGTCTCACAAGACACACAAACACAGATACCCAGATTCATAGACAGGTTTGTCTACACATTCTCAAAAAAGATGCTGGAGCAGTGAAACTTCAGAAGCATGATCTATACACAAAAACTTTTTCTTTAAGCCAAAGTTGTTTTGGTGACTATAGTGTCTCTTTAATGCATTGATGTACGAAAGGTCCCTTCTCAAACATCTTACTGATACCTGTGATTGGGCCATGCGAGTTGAATTAACCATGCAGGTGGGTGAATCAAATTTACAGTTCTGCTTTAGCTCCAAAGCCCTTCACTAACAACTATTGGAGTAAATGAAATGGTTACAGTGCCAAGAGTGCTCTAGCTTCATCCCACAGTAAGAAACCATTTTGTATGGCTTGACAACTTACCTTGTTCCTATTGGAGCGTCAACTGAATGCACTCAGCCAATGATTGTGATCCTACGTTACTTTGCTCTAAGTTGTCATATGGCTTCTGCTGCTGGAGAAGAATAAATATGGTACATGCACCCAGTGGGACCTAGGTAAGAGGGACTCTATAGTGTTAGGAATACAGTTTTGTATTTCTAACATTATAGTGTTCCTTTACATATACTTGCAGACCTATATGAATGAAGGAAGAAACATATAAAAGTGGCTATGTCACCATCTGGGGTCTTTACATAATTTGCAAAGTGATGGGGACATGTGATTAAATTCTCTTGGAGTGTTATACTTACATGAACCTGTCCCTCACGGTTGCTGCTATGGTGTTCCTGCTGGTCCTTTTCAGCTCCTGGCACTTCAGCTGCCAGGAGCTTATGTCAGTCCATAATTGGTCCATAAACGGAGCCTTGTCAAAGGTAGCTCCAACCTTTTTTGTTTTGTCAAGTGTAGAAAAACTACTGAGAGAAAATAGTCCCTACATTGTCTCAGTATATTGGTTGACTGGGTTGGAATCTCAGTGAATTTCAACACAATCAATGATTTTTTATCTTTATGAAATACTAATTTTGGAGGTGGGTGACAGTGCAATCATGATCTCCATACGCAACACTGCTTTATTTGGGTATAATGCCCACACAGTGCAAACATATGGCACACTGGGCATTATGAATACAACTACCTGTATGGAGATCATAGTGCCTGTTACTTATTTTGACTATTAATGCCAGTTAGGGGCTGGCATTTTCAGGAAAGAGCTCTACCCATGAAGACTAGTACTGTGAAACCAGAGTGCGGTGCTCATGCAATAATTTCTGTCTTCTATTAACATGTTGTCAGCCTGTTTAAGAGGCATAACATTTTTCTGACTTTTTAGAACTCCCTGTATGGCGATAACCATCAGTTCTATACTCACTGCAGACACAAAGATAAAGCACTGCGCTTACAGCGGCAGTAGCTTAGTATCCAACAGCTTAAAATGCACAGTAAAAACAAAGAGAACGTTACCTGCGCTCTGGCCTAACTCCCCATGTACATTTAAACAAAATGGAGGCTCTTTAGTTTTATTCCTATGGCCATTTGAATATATAAGCTCAACTGCCACGTCAAGGCAAGCCTCGATAGGTGAGTTCCTACACTAGCCATTAGATATGCTGATATCAGCCAAGAATCTCCAGTAAGAAAGGAAAGGGTATTTTATAAACCCTTTCACATTTAACCCTTTATAGGGCTTCTACACATACAATAAACTTTGCTGGTATCAGACAAAGTGTAAACATCTCTAATGAGACAGGAAGGG